AGCCAAGCTACTTATGCACTATGTGCAGAAGAAGACAAGCTCAGAGAGCTTCTACGTCTTAGGGTGCTTAACCCTCCTAGGCTAGCTCGTAAGATTGTGCCCATCGGTTGTTACAACCGGGTCTACAGGAGACCAGTATTAAAGATACAATTTCTTAGGAGGAATAGAAAGCTCAAGCAATGATGCTTATAGAGCAAATTTGAAACTGATTTATATTTATGTTTATCTTCTAGCACTAAATATAGAACCACCTACTCTATACTTAGTGCTAGTCACTATTTACTGTCTCTGTAGCCTGCAAACATGTATAGTCACTATACTTTAAATGAGTATAGTGACCACGTACCCTTCGTACCTTAGGTACGGTCTTCATGGCTTACTTTTTGTACCCAAGGTACAGCCACACCACATTGGTGTGGCAGGTGTGTATGTAAAATACACATCTTCGTGTAACCCCGTTCCACCAACGATTTCTGCAGGGGATCTAGTTCTTTATGGAATTAAGGCTCGCACATTGCTGCTCGGTGCTGAGATTATAATAATCGTGGGGCACTTGTACCTGACGAGATTATTCTAGACATGATGGAGAAACGATTTGCAATGAAAGAGGCTCAAAAAGACTTTAGTTTGGGCGGATTTTCACGTAATGTGCCTCAGCTAAAGCTTGTATGTAGTAATCAAAACTGGACCTGGTAGTAAACATTGATTCATCTGTGTGGATCCTTACGGACAAGATTAGTGGGAGAAGGTAGGTTATCATTGAATGAAATGATGGATATAATTGTATGAATTTTAATTTGTAGTTGTTTGGTTGATTTCTATTTAAAGGTATGTGACACCAAGGGCAGTCATTGCTACGATCTGACATTTATCAATCTAGAAGAATACTACATGTCTCCTTTATCGCCTGCTAGAGAGGATATGTAACGTCTGTCTTTGACACGTTTTCGCTCAACAATGTTCGGATGACTTGCCTAAGACTCTTAAACACAGGTAAGAGGAGATTTGGACATGTGGGTGCGTTAAGTGTACAGATTGGTTGTTTTTTATAGGTTGGAGGTGTACAATCAAGAGACGTCGCCATTGATTGATTTTTATACGAAAAGAAGGCATTTTGAAGATATTTAAGGCAAAGAGGGGACTTGGAGACTTTGGCAAGCTTGTGACTCTGATTAATAGAGAGCCGCACGTGTGGAACAAGACTGAAGAGGAAAGTCTTCAAGTCAGTGTGATTTTTATGACTGCTGCGTCTTCATATGAACCGCAGTCACACAATAAAATGTTACGACATGTATGCGCTCTTGCCTTAGTTATGCGTCTGTGTCCGTTAATTAGCAGGTTTCCAGCGCCTAACGCAACGGGGCTAGCGTATTGCTCGTTAGTATCAATGTAAAGTTATTGGACTTAGTCAAATGCTTTATGGACGTGAATACTGACGTCCGATTTATTGTCTTAGACACAAGCTATTTCTCCTTTATAATGCTGTCACGACTTACAAGTAGCTTTTGTAAGTAATTTCTCGAACGCATTTGTGCGGGACGTTTGAAGTAATTGTCTAGTTGAAGCGTCCTATCCGATCGCACTTCAACATGATGCCTGCCTATTATATATATGGCAAACTTCGTTATCGACACAAACAAACACCAGTGATCAATATTGCAATCCAATAACTCAACCACAAATCATGTTTAGCTCCTGGGATCTCGTACGGCAGCGCTTCTTGTACCCCATGTCATCTCTGAAACAGTCCATGATAGATCTCGAGATGGAAGATATTATGATGCGACCACATTCCTTGCTTGACATGCCTCGCAACGTCTTTGCCACTCCAAAGTACGCTCAAGAAGAAGATGGACCGGTTGATGACGACTTCTTTGTTGACCTACCAGTAGTGTCGCACATGTATAAGCGGAAACCGTTTGACATGGGACACAAAAAATCATAAAGAACAAAGAATCTACAGATAATGTTAGCTTGGACACGACGCAAGAACCGACATGGAAGTTGATGATGGAGGCGCTGAAAAGGTCAACCCGGAGGAAGACTCAGCAACCAAGTCAGTAAAGCCATCAAAGAAGCTTAACGACAATGATGACAAGACTAAAGACAACAAGAACAAGCAGCTTTGTCGTGAGTCATATCATATCACCCCTACTACTGAGCACAAGGTTGTTCCCAAGAAGGATGACGAGTATCGCAACTTCTCGTCTTATTCGCTCAGTAGTTCGTCCGTTGCACGAGCACACGTCGCCGCTACGAAGACTCAGCTGATTGACTGAAAGCTGATATCTTATAGTTCATCATTCAAGAATCGTAAGGCCAAAATCCGCTTGCGATGTACATCCCGCAGAAAACACCGCTAGGCGAAATTCCTGCCACCAGTCCCCTCCATCTGGTGCGTTCTCCCTTTCGTTGAGGGACATATCGCACAAACTGAAGTTCTTTTACCATCGTAGCTTTCAACGGTCGATAAACATTGCTGCAGTTAGCACGAATTCGTTGGATCAGTTTATCGCACCATTTTCTACGACGCGGAATTTCATACAGGCAATACAGACATTTCTGGCCCTCGATGCTGTTCCAGTGCTCGTGTATGAAATCTGTCGGGTTGTACCCGTATCTTGTTGTATACTTGTGAACGAATCGGTCGCCAGCTTTTTTACATACGCGGTTCATCGCTTTCTTGACAGCTGCGTCGTTGGAAAGCCTCTTGCCATCGGTTGGGAGCAAACACAAAACGGGAACAAACATTCCTGTGCCGTGCGAGTTATTTGCACAATAGGGTAGTAAAACCCTCTGTGCCAGTGCTACTGCACTCAACAACACTGAGGCACCATTTGGGACTTGAAGACTTGGCATAGCCCTGTTCACCGTAAAAGGTGCGGCGTCAAAACATCTTTCCCGATACCTTTGAAAATCAATGCTTCGCATCCAGTCACAGTAGCATTGACGTCCCAGGTGGGTCTTCTGTTCGTCGGCAAAATCGTCAAGTGCACTCAGCGCCATTTTGACAGTAAAAGTTGTTGACAAGACACTACCACACGCTTGAATCAAGTTAGCAACTTCTTCGCTAGATAAAAACGCCCACACTTGTCCAGCGTCAAGCTGCAAAACAAAACCAAGACGATAAGCAGTAGAATCAGATTCACCCTTTGCACAATGTTGTTGCTTCTTTTTCTTGCGGACGGGAATACTGGTCCGACTACTTTGCTTCATCTTGCTCTCTCTTTTCCTTTTTCTCTCTCTCTTTTCCTTTTTCTCTATCTCTTTGAATTGACCGTGATGGATACGGACTTGGTTTGAATTGAGTGTAATTGTGTAAGAAGTTAGAGCATCAAGTTACTTATTCGGAGCAAGTAATTTTCGGGTGACTCCTTCTCGGATTTCTAGTTGAGATCATGTGTGATAGGTTCCGGTTGATTCCATTCTTCGTTCTGGCTTTCTAGAATCAGGATAAACGAATATAGGTTGTCGTGACTAAGAACCCATTGCTGTTTGCATTAGAAGTAATAGCTTAAAGCTTTCTTGTGACCATTAACCAAATCAAATTGCTCTATTACAGTTATCGACAACACCAAAGCGTTTGATACTCGATAGAACCTAAAAACAACGTCTAGTTTTGGCATTGGTGTGATCATCTACAATCCCATTGCAGCGATGCCTATGCCGTTGATAGGTGCAACCAGAGAAATGAAGCATGCATTGCCATTGGTGACTGGGTGAACAGGATTCTTCGTTTGAGCCTCATGTGTCATGATGTCTTTAAAATGAAATAGCGTTAAATCTGGTAACATTTGATCGGTCGGTAAGACTATCGCAAGCATTTCTTGATAAACTGACACTGAAGGTCGTCGACCAAGTGTCGTTAAACACCAAGTGCACTTTGGACGGCCGTGGCTGGATGCAAAAGCACATTTCTTCCTCGCTTGTTCAAGCGACTCAGTGTTCCAACGGCCTAACTCACATTGTAGTTTTGAACTGCGTAGTTTGTCAGCGACTAGTAGAGCATTCGAGAGGTCTTTGCGCCACTATCAAACGGAAGGCTCTTACGTTTTAAGCAGGTAGAGTGTGAGCTGTGATTGCTCTATGGTCTACCCTTCATGGTGAAAGCCGATTGAATCCAAGCATGTGCACCGAAGATATGGAAATGCAGGCGACTAATCGCAGTCACAAATCGACTGGAGATCGATTTTCGATACATGTTTAGTTGAAAAAAAGTAGACAAGACCAGATTACTTGGACCACCTGTACTGACCGAAAACGATGCACATGTGAAAATGTTCTGCTTTGTATATCTCGTGCTTCATACAAGTTCATTATCTTTTCGCACATATGAAGGTATAATGGCAGGCACGTTGGAACGTAAAATGCAACGCGGCTTCTATCTTACAAAACCACAAAACGCTAAGCGCTCACTATTGTAACTACACCGCAAGTATTTACAATGAGATTGGCCTGTGTCACAAGAACTTGCGGTTATCACTCGTACGAGGAGTCCGCGTGAACTCTGAAGTTAATCTGATGAAACCAAAGATAACGTCGAAAGTACTTCACGGAAACGGTTGCACATGTATCCACCGTAAACGAGCGTTGCTGCTTTAATCAAACGCTTCATGATGTACAAGAATATTACAGCTATTCGTTAAAGGAGCTACTAGAATATCATTTTCGATCCGAGTTAGATCAACAACATCAAAGACTGATGAATACCACACATTCATATGGAGAGATGGTCGTAATATTAAGCTGAAAAATAACAATTTGCCAGCGGGAAGAATGGTCAATAACACAACAAATTGTCTAGTTTGGCTCGACCTGGAACTGCGTCGTGCATACTGACAATTTACCCCCTAGGTGGCGTTTGTATTGTGCTTATGCTTCCAATGCAACACTGCCTAAATCATGGAAGGAAGCTTATCAAAAGCTTTGTTGGTATCGTTATGAGTCGTGGGACCCTTTCTGTCCGTGCATTTTCCACCACCCATTATACATTAAGCATAATGCGCAAAGATGTAAAAGCATCTTCAATTGCTATACGTCGCAATGGAGTTCGTATCCGTAAGGCTTTAGAAGTGTGCAACCTCGCTAAGCATTCCCAGCATTTGGTACGCAACGCATTACCATTGCGTGTGCTTGGCCTTGATGTCAACACCAACAGCACAGGGTTTGCCATTGTGACGGAGCGTGGTCCCGTATGTCGCTGGGGCTATATCCCCACTGCGCAATTCGCTAGTGATGACGTTCTTCGTATTGGTGGTGCTGTCGACGACTACTTAGCGACAGTGCAAGACGCTGAGCAGCAACAGCAGCCATCAGCTCGATGGGTCGTAGGTATTGAAGCTTATCTGCGAATGTTCCGCTCCGGGCGCTTTCATAACGCCGGTATCTTTCAATTGGCGCAGCTCAACGGAATTGTGTCCTTCTCGTGTTGGAAACGCTTCAACGTACTGCCATTGCACACACATCCATCAGCTGCTCGTGGGTACTTTGGTCTTAGTACTGCATCAGGTAGCAGCGGTAAAAAGAGCAACATCAAACATCAGGTCATGCAATTCTTCGAGCAGCAAGAACCCGAGGTAGCTAGAAAAGCCGAGATAGCAGGACAACATGCTGAGGGATTAGAAGCTCTGCCCAGATTGAAACGGATGCGGAGTGGCGCATTAGCAGACTCAGCATTTGACGTTGCCGATGCGTACGTGATTGCAGCTTACACGCGCTGTGCCTACTTGCAGAAACAGTTGGAGATACAGCATCCGCAACTTGTTAAGTATTTTTCAGCACGATACCTAGAGTTGACGTATGAAGCAGCAGCCAAGACGAAGAAGAGCTCAAAGGAGATGACAATTCTAAAGGCCATGGACGAGAAAGAAGTATTTGCTTATACAAGAGAATTGTTTGCATTTGGCTTAGAGAACTGGTTCAAAGACCATAACAAATGCTTCATGCTATACGATGGAAAAAGTTGATTATTTGATTGAGTCGTTCGATAACAACTTGACTTACTTCTTACTCCAGAGATACTTGACGCATTAATCCCGTACAAACTACTTTCTCATGCGAGGTTCCATCACGTGCTTAGTGGAACTCGTGCACGTCAGTCCACGCGTCGTCCTCCTTCTCGCGCTTGTAGTAGTCAAAGAGACTGTCTGGCTCAAGACCAAGCAGCGGCTGGTTCTTGTGAACAGCCATGGCTTCCACGAAAAGCTGCACCAGGCTGATGTTCGTCAGCAGCGGAATGGAAAAGTCCACTGCCGTACGACGAATGCGATAATTGTTCTCTATCTGTTGGCTCTGACTGTTAGGCAGGTTTACCACCAGATCGATCTTGCCTTCCTTGATCAGGTTCAGCACGTTCATCTCGCTGTCACCGTCGGACGGGAAGTTCACCTTCGTCGACGGGATGTCGTACTTATTGAGGAACGCATGCGTCTTCTCCGTCGTAAACAGGCTATAGCCTAGTTCGTGCATCTTGTAGGCGGCGTGCACAAACTCTTCCGAGAACTTGTCCTGCATGGACAGCAAAATATTCTTCTCCGGCAATTTAAAGTTTGACGAAATCAACGCCTTCAGGAACGCTTCGTGATGATTCTTACCAAAACAAGCCACCTCTCCTGTCGAAGCCATTTCGACGCCGATCAGCGGGTCTGCGCCACCAAGACGTGTGTACGAAAACATTGGTGACTTAATACCCACGTAGCCCTCCGGACGCTTCGGGCCGTCAAGGGGAGGCAAGTTGTCGTGGTCCGTCGACTCACCAACCATCACCTTGGTTGCAGCGTTAATAAAGTCTGCACCCGTCGTCTTCGACACGAACGGGAACGAACGCGAGGCACGCAAGTTGCACTCAATTACGCTGACTTCAGCACCCTTGGCCAGGAACTGAGCGTTAAAAGGACCCGAAATGTTCAGCGCCCTTGCAATCTTCTCAGCGTGTCGTTTTATCTGGTTTGTATAGAATGAACTCGCCTCCACAGGTGGTAGCACCAGTGTGGCGTCGCCACTGTGGACACCAGCGTTCTCCACATGCTCGGATATTGCTGCAGCGATTACCTTGCCATCCTTGGCCACAGCATCTAGCTCCAGCTCCTTGGCACCCTCCACGAACTTCGTGATCACAACGGGATGATCCGAAGACACAGAAACCGCCTGGTTCAGCACATCATCCAGCTCATCGAAGTTGTACGCAACATTCATAGCCGCACCACTCAGCACGTACGACGGACGCACCAGCACGGGATAGCCGACGCGTTCAGCGAACTCGCGCGCGGCAGCGTGGCTAGTCAGCTCCTTCCACGCCGGTTGAGGCACGCCAGCCTTGTCCATCAGCTTCGAGAACTTATAGCGGTCCTCAGCACTGTCAATCATCATCGGATGCGTGCCCAAAATTTTCACGCCGGCCTTGTGCAGCGGAAGTGCAAGGTTGTTTGGGATCTGTCCACCCACAGAGACCACGACACCCTGAACGCCCTCGCGGTCGTTAACGTCCATCACACGTTCCTTCGACAACTCCTCAAAGTACAGCTGATCGCACTCGTCATAGTCCGTACTCACGGTCTCAGGGTTGTAGTTGAGCATCACAGCGCGGCGACCAAGCTTGCGCAGGGTACGGATGCAACTTACAGCGCACCAGTCAAACTCTACAGAGCTACCAATTCGGTACGCACCGCTACCTAGCACCATTACGCCGTCGTTCGGTTCTTGCGCGGGCACGTCGTGCTCCGTACCGTTGTATGTCATGTACAGATAGTTGGTCTGAGCCGGGTACTCTGCAGCAAGCGTATCAATTTGCTTCACCGCCGGCACGATGCCAAGCTCCTTACGCTTAGCGCGCACCTCATCGTCAGTGCAGCTGAACATGCGAGCAAGCTGACGGTCTGAAAAGCCCAGCTTCTTCGCCTCGGCGATCTCAGCACCGGTCAGGTCGTTCAGCTTCTTGCCAGTAAGATTCACATCGCAATCGGAAATGGCTTGTAGACGGCTCAGGAACCAAGTGTCAATCTTTGTGATATCGTGCACCTGATCAATAGACAGCTGGCCAGACTTCAATGCCTGCGCAATTTGGTAAATACGGCGGTCTGTAGGCTTGCCCAGAGCTTTTACTAGCTCATCATGCGACAACTGGTCGTAACGCGGCTCAAAGCCCTCATTTGAAGGTTCAACCATACGCAGCGCCTTCTGTATTGCTTCTTCAAAAGTGCGGGCAATCGACATTACCTCACCAACACTCTTCATGGACGAGCCAATCTCAGTACTGACGTTGTCAAACTTGGCCAAATCCCAACGCGGCATCTTGGCAACGCAGTAGTCAAGGGAGGGCTCGAAGCAAGCAGTTGTACTCTTGGTCACGGAGTTCTTCAAGTCTGGCAGATTGATACCCAGAGCAAGCTTAGCAGCCACAAAAGCAAGCGGATAGCCCGTCGCTTTCGATGCCAAAGCACTCGAACGTGACAGGCGTGCGTTCACCTCAATAATACAGTACTCTTCCGATTCGGGATTCAGTGCATACTGAATGTTACACTCGCCAACAATGCCAAGGTGACGCACCACTTTAAGAGCAGTCTCTCGCAGCATGTGGTACTCGCGGTCCGACAAAGTCTGCGAAGGCGCGATAACAATTGACTCACCCGTGTGAATACCCAGAGGGTCAAAGTTCTCCATGTTGCACACCGTCAAACAATTGTTGGCAGCATCACGCACCACTTCATACTCAACTTCTTTCCAACCCTTCATCGAGCGCTCGACCAGGATCTGAGGGCTACCAGAGAAGGCCTGCTGGGCCATCTGGCGCAAGTGAGCCTCATCCTCACAAATACCTGAGCCTAGACCGCCAAGCGCAAACGCTGAACGGATCATCACCGGAAAACCAATCTTGTACGCAGCCTTCACTGCATCATCCACTGACTCCACAGCCTCACTTTGAGCAATACACTCATTTATCTCCGCGAGCTTGTCGTTGAACAGCTCACGGTCTTCCGTGTAATTAATCACATCAATTTGCGTACCAAGGACCTTCACACCGTACTTCTCGAATACTCCCCGCTTGTCAAGCTCTACACCGCAGTTCAATGCAGTTTGTCCGCCCATGGAGATGAGGATACCGTCCGGGCGCTCACGCTTGATTACCTGTTCCACGAAATCAGGGTTCACAGGCAGATAGTACACGTTGCTAGCCTGAGCCTCGCTAGAGCGGTCAATATTTGTCTGCACGGAAGCAATATTTGGGTTAATCAGGATCGTTTCTATCTCCTCCTCCTTTAGTGCCTTAATAGCTTGTGAGCCAGAGTAGTCAAACTCACCGGCCTGACCAATAGACAGACCACCTGATCCGAGCACTAGCACCTTTTTCACCTTGGGGCGCGTAACTTTCTGCCGCTGCACCAAATTCTTGATTGGTCCTTTCTCCTTTGTGCGTACGGCATCAAGGAACGTATCAAACAGGAACTTGGTATCCGTAGGTCCGCCAGCATATTCTGGGTGGAACTGTGCTGTAAAGTACGGTTTGGACTTGTGAATGATACCTTCATTCGTGCCATCGTTGAGATTCACAAAGAGCTCTTCCCATTCACTAGGCAGTGTTTTGCCGTCTACTGCGTAACCATGGTTCTGGGCAGTGATATAGCTCTGCCCGCTTTTTAAATCTTGCACAGGTTGATTTTGTCCACGATTTCCGAACGGCAGCTTGTACGTCTTGGCACCGGCAGCAAGACTGAGAAGCTGGTTACCGAGACAGATTCCAAATATAGGCTTAATATTACCGCCTTGTAGATTCAAAGCCTTTTGAAGTTGAGCAGTCGTTTCCTTCATGATCGCTGGATCACCCGGACCGTTTGAAATGAAAAGACCATCATACCAGCCAATTTCAGAAGAAATATCGTGATTCCACGGCACGCGTTTTACTTCTGCACCACGTTTGACAAGTTCTCGAATTATATTGTGCTTGATACCACAATCAATCGCCAAGATCTTGATTGGATTTCCTTTACCATATGTGATAATTTCTTTTGTCGAGACAAGAGCAGCAAGATTATTCTCGTTCACATCAATAAGTTTTGGTGGAGCACTGCCCTCTACAATAATACGACCGGCCATGGCTCCATTCGCACGGATTTTCTTCGTGATAGCACGCGTATCGACACCAGTAATACCTGGAATTCCCTCACTCTCAAGCCACTCGGATAGTGATTGAGCAGCATTCCAATGACTATAATGACTTGAATAATCTTGTACAATCATACCAGCAGCATGAATACGATCGGATTCAATATTTTTATGAAGCCCAAATTCATCCAATATCTTGGTGTCTGGTACACCATAATTACCAATCATAGGAAACGTCATATTAAGAAGCTGGCCTTTAAATGATGGATCTGTCAATGCCTCCGGGTAACCAACCATACCAGTCGTAAAAACTACTTCACCAGCCATGGATTTCTTTGCCCCAAATGAGATACCATGAAAACATGTACCATCTTCAAATTCTAGTACAGCAGGTGTTTCAAAACGTGGGACATGACGACGATCAACTTTCTCACGTGCAGATACTAAGAGACGATTACCACTTGCTTTGTATAAAGGTACACGACGTTGTATTGAAGATGACAAACGAAGCATTTGTTTTTGTCTAATTCTATACTACGTTGAAAACAATCGAACAAGAGTGTTGGTCAAGAAACACACAAAAACAATATCAACCAATTGAATTGCTTTGTTTACAACGCTTGGAATTGGATAATGAATCAATGAATGACGTGGAAAAAAGATCGCATTGATAGTCAGTCAGTCTGTCAATGAATTAAGGGTGTGGTTGTTAAGTAAGATGACGTGGTGCGTGGATAATGTATGTCACATAGAATTAACAAGCTGCGGAAGAATTTTGCCGAGAAATGTTGGCTATTGAAGTAGCATAGCTGACACCGAAAAAATCCCAATAAAGACGGGCTTAGTTACATCAGACAAGATTACAGCAACAAGAAAAAAGCCATGCACAGCTTTGTCTGAAACATGTAAAGTGAAGTGAGTGTCTTTCTATGTAATTTGTTTATTCTATTGACATAAACACTCCTAAAGTTCAACATGAAAGACTTCAACATGGTTCAATCTTTTCCAAATGTTGACGACAACTTGTTACGTTAAAGCCTCCCACGCCCAGACGGACAGACGTTTCATCATGATGATGTTGAGCCACGTCACTCAATCCACTCCCAAGGGGAGGGGATGGGCAGCAGGTCCAAAGTACGCGGCCGGGACTTTGCAGCTGGAGACCACGTACCTATCGTCAATCCTCAGCCAATCGTACGCATGGAAGCCACCATATACAATGGTCACCTTTTTTTCATACCGCACTTAAGCTACATCAGCGTAAGTCCACAGTAAAACCGGTAGTTTCTTATATACCGGTTTTGATACCATTCGGTTTTACTTCAATCTCCTAACGATCGATCTTTCCCCAATATGTGGCGCTCCGTGGCTCAGCAAATACCGGCAATTAGACGCACCGTAGCACGCAGCATACAGGCGGTTGCAGTCTCTTGTGTTACTTCTCATGTGAAAATAGGTGTTTGTCCGTTGAGGGACGTCTCTATGGCTTCTTGTATAACGCTACAGACTCGAATGCTCTCGTCCAAGACAAATGATGATTATGCGGTTAATCTGGCGAAGGTTTTGGCTTCAGAGTCTACATTGAAAGAGTTTAAGGAGCTTTATTGTATGCCTGATGGAAAGAAACACACAACGGTGATTAAAATCGGTGGTGAAGTGATTATCAATGAGCTTGAAATACTGATTGAATCACTTCGCTTTATGAAAGACACGGGTCTATTTCCAATTATTGTACATGGTGCAGGTCCACAAATGAATGAAGAGCTGAAAAAAGAGGGTGTGGAACCTCAATATATTGGTGGTAATCGCGTTACTGATAAAAAAACGCTTGATATTGCACAAAAGATCTTTATCGACACAAATGCAAAGCTTGTAGCTGCGCTTAATGAGGCTGGTGTGTCTGCTAGAGGTATTACGAGCGGTGTTATACAGGCTGACGTTAAGGATAAGGATGTTTATGGCTTTGTGGGTGAGGTGAACAAGATCCATGGCGACCTTATCCAAGCGGCCATTGATGCGGGCCAAATTCCTGTGTTGTCATGTCTTGGTGAGAGCACAGACGGTCAGACACTCAATATCAATGCTGACGTTGCTGCTCGCCAGCTTGCTCTCAACTTGCAGCCACTTAAAACCATCTTTGTTAACGCAAAAGGAGGCTGGATTGAAGATGATGGCACGAAACTCAAAACGATCAATATGGCCAAGGACTATGAGCGTATGGCCGCGCGTGACTACACTGGTCGTCAAGGTACACTCCTTAAGCTCAACGAGATCAATACGCTTTTGCAGGGCCTTCCAGCAACCTCGTCGGTGGTACTCACATCGGCATCACAGCTGATGCGCGAGATTGTGAGCAAGAAAAGTGCGGGTACGACGTGCATTAAAGGGGAAAAGCCTGCTACTACTAGTCCAAAGAGTAATACTAAAACGTCGGTGGTTCCTCGCGGTCCTAATAAAAAATATCGCGTTGGTCTGCTCGGCGCGCGTGGATACGTGGGCGGTGAGCTCATCCGTGTGATTGGTCGCCATCCGGAGCTGGAGCTCGTATGTGCCAGTTCGCGTGCTCTGGCTGGGAAGAAAGTGGTAGAGGTTGCTTCTGCCCCACCACTCAATCCTCATACGAAGCTGCCGGCGAAACGAATTGAGGATGTAAAGCTGAACATTGATTCGGAGCTGGAGTTCTGCGAGCTCGGGCTAGACGGTATTGCGACCTCACCGTTTGGAGAGAGCGTCGATGTGTGGGTGGTGGCGTTACCAAATGGGTACTGCGAGGACTACGCCACCGCTCTGAATGCGCTTCGCCGAAAGGACAAGGTCGTCATCGACTTGAGCGCGGACCAGCGGTTTAACTCAAAGTGGACCTACGGCTTGCCGGAGGCTCCGGGTGGACGTACGCGGTTGCAGGGTGCCACACACATTGCCAATCCCGGCTGTTACGCTACTGGTGCGCAGCTTGGATTGATGCCACTGCTTGGAGGTAAACCCGAGGTCAGCGGAAAGCTGATTAATGAGAGTGTTCCGCCACATGTGTTTGGAGTTTCGGGCTACAGCGGTGCTGGCACAACACCCTCCAAAGCTAACGACTTGGACGTGCTTAATGACAACATTGTTGCATACAAGTCGGTAAAGCATATTCACGAGCATGAAGTTAGCTACCAGCTCGGTACGCCCGTTCGTTTCATGCCTCACGTTGCACCGTACTTTCAGGGTATCCACCTCACGTTGTCCGCGCAGCTTGCGGACGATAAAGTAATCACTTCGGCAAAACAAGCTGAGGAGCTCTACCAGGAGTTTTTTCTCAATGAAGCTCTGGTGAAGGTTACACCGGACATCCCGCTTGTAAGGGACAATGCGTATCGTCCACACGTGACTATCGGTGGCTTCCAGTTGGACTCGAACACTGGTCGACTTGTGGTGATTGCTACCATCGACAATCTTCTCAAGGGTGCAGCTACGCAGGCAGTACAGAATATTAACATCGCGCTTGGGATTCACGAGTACGTGGGAATTGACCTTGAGTAAAGAGTCATATGGCGTCTCATCGTCTATCATTTCTTGCAAGGAGAGGTAGCAGGTACATACACCAATCCGTCTAATACAACAAAGACCAACCTTACGGTCCAATCAATTCTAAAACTTTATTGTTGCAATGCTGAAGACTGACAGAAAGGAAGTACTCGAGAATGCAGATGAATGCTGTCAGTGAACGTCAGGCTTCACCTGAAAGTAGGTCAAACGTCTCAGCACCATAAATGTGCCGGCGCGACACACTGCATCGCAAAAACATCAGCTCCTAATTCTTACTGGTCGAGGTGGCGATAGTAATGACGATGACAACTAGTACTGTAGAATTGGATCACCAACGCGATCAATGATGGGCACTGTGCACTTGAGGTCAAACACCTTGCTAAGCACTACCTTAAACACTTTCTGCACATTAATAGAGTGCGAGGCTGACGTGAAGATAAGCGGTGCCTTCATGGCCTTTGCAAACTTGCGAGCCTTCCAGGAGCAAAAACAACGTTACTACCCCATCAACATCAGAAAAATAGTCCCACTTGCAACATGCATTACTAGCATTTACCTGTTTTGTAATATCTTCCTGTTCCTCCATGGCAAAATTGGCAAAGTGGTCGTACTTCATTCCCACAAGGAACGGAAAAGCATTCTAAAAATCAATCATCTTATCAACTTAGTACTGTTCTAAACCTCACCATATCCACATTGACATAATTTTCAATCGATAACTCAGTCGACTTACCTTGTTAATCGATCGCACTTGGCGATACCATTCTTTAATACTCGTAAGTGTCGCCTTTCGGGAAAGATCAAACATGAATAAAATGGCCACTGCATCATTGCACACAAGCGGTAGCATGCTAATAAATTCACGGTGACCCCCTAGATCCCAAATACTAAATGTAATCTCCGTATTTCGCAAAGCAATGGTCTTTTCCATAAAATTAACGCCCAATGTGTGGATATAATCCTCATCAAACTTCCCCTCAACGTATTTAACCATAAGACTTGTCTTACCAACCTGCGCATCGCCCACCATACCAACTTTTACCACTACATTATTGCGACTAGATCCACTATTACTAGATGAGGTGCCAGTTGTTGAACTTACACCACGTGAAGGTCGCTCGATACAAGACCGAGTACTTCGAGCGTCTTGTCGTTTTTCTTCCATTTGACAAATGACATGACAATATGACGATTAGTTTACGTATTTTATTCAAGAAAATAATATAAAATATATATAATACCGTCATGTATGTAAGCTACATAGGTTTTCTTGAACATTCCCAGCATGAAAATTTGCATCGTAGAAGCTTCCTCTGTACCAGCTGTTCATGTCAAACAACAATGAAACGACATATTTTTCTTAGCGACTGGATGTTCATAATGTTTTGTTTCTGTGACCTAAAATAACGTGTTGTCAATATAAATCTTTTGTTAACACAATCTGTGATTATTCGTACTTAACTCGTTGCCCTTGACCACTTTTCTCCATTACTACTACTTCCTTTCTGTGTTTCTTAGTTATTAGTACGAGCGTCCTCTTTTACCACATCCGACTCGGACTGAAGTTGACCCTTCACAGTCTTTTTCTGTGCCTCACCAAACGGAGTTTGCTGCCACAGCGTTTCAAACTCCTCCGGACTGCCGCTTGAACAAATGGACTCGTGCTGACCTTCGTCTTCTTTGCATTGACGATGCCATGTCGTACGCAACTTCTTGCCATCAATTTCCCGTTCATGCACAGCTTTCAGTCGACCGCTTGAGTCTTCGTAGCGGCGACGTGTGGTCGTCACTCGCCGACCCTTGTCGTCCATAACGGACGAGCTACTGAACGAATAAGACGAAAAGTTGTGACACTCATCGTCTCTCTCGTGCTTTGTTGTGGAAGTGATCTTGTCAGAATGACGTTGGAGCTCTTCGTTTTTCTTGTCAAGGTCTTTCTCTTTGGACTCGACATTACCTTCGACCTTTTTCGATGCCTCCACTGTCTTGGTTGCAGACTCTTCTGCCTGGTCGACCCTTTCACTGCCCTCATCATCAACTTCCATTGAGTTGGTGTCCGAGCAAACATTATCTGTAGATTCCTTGCTCTTTATGTCCTTTTCGTCCTGTTTGAAAGCCATGTCGAACGGTTTCCGCTTGTACATGTGCGATACTACTGGTAGGTCAACAAAGAAGTCGTCATCAACCGGCCCATCTTCTTCTTGAGCGTACTTTGTCGCGGCAAAGAAGTCGCGCGGCATGTCGAACAAGGAACGTGGTCGCATCATAATATCTTGCAGCTGCTCGAGCTCCATCATGGACTGTTCCAGAGATGACATGGGGTACCAGAAGCGCGGTCGTACGAGATCCCACGAGCTAAACATGATTATGGTTGAGTGATTTGGTTGTAGTATTGATCAGTAGATGTTTGTGTTGTTTGTAGCAAATTGAAAACTGATTTCGTCGACTACTTTTCACTCGATAACAGAGTTTGCCGTAACTAATAGGTAGATATCATAGTGAAGTATGATCGGATAGGACGCTTCAACACGTCCCATACAAAATTACATATATATCGTATGAGCCTTGTCTGAATTCTAGAAAAATAGCAAATCACTTTCTGCCATTTCACCATTTCAGCTTTTCGATTTACATTCGAGAATACAATCAACGATCGCATATAGCAATCCGTTGTACATACATATCTCAATAATAGCAGCATTCAATGTTACTTCACTGCTCTTTTATATAAAATCTAGAATATGTCAGCTATTGACAAAAAAGGCAAAAGCTATCATAATGTGCACTTTACATAGGCAAAGCGTACTTAGTAATGCAATTTTTCTTCTTCTGCCAGACAAAATGAAGAAACTCTAGCAGGATATGAGGTGGTGATATACTAGTCAAACTATCATCGATTCTTAGACTTGTGCTACTTTAATTATCTACTCTTTTGAATGTATCCTCATACGTTCGATACCTCCTCAACAGATCTAGTGATGCACTAATAAACGCATTCAGGTCAACAAAATGACAGCAGTGTGAATCCATACGCTTTTTTCTATTAGTTCATCCTGTCTTTAGTCTTTCGTCCAAACGATGAAGGTGTCACGGTGTTGTCTGTACCTGCCGTCCTGGATTCAATTTTGATTGTGCCACCCTGTGATACAGTGAGCGGGGCGTGTCAGTTATTTGTCACGCTTACGTATATGAAAAACGAAAGACGTACAATAATATCCTCTCGGTGAGCACTCTGCTCCACCTTGCTCTGCGTGTCTAAATAGAACATTAGATCGCGGACCTGGCCCTCGAGATCACCAATGCGCAACGCTGTTTGCTGCTCAACCCGTGCATTTTGCTCCTCTAATAGACGTACGCGCTCCTTCCACTGCTTCTGGTTTTCAATCAGCGATTTGTTCAGCTCTCTGTACAAACAAAAACATAAGCACCATCAGCATACTCAAACTGCATCAGCAGACTGTCCAAGAATCTTCACACACCTGACAAATGCCAGCTCCTCCTCCAGCTTTTTCGTCTTTTGAGCTAGATTTATATTTGCTTTCTTAAGCTGTTTGCGTTCGCGCTCGTGTGCATTAAGCAGCTGCCGGCTCTCGCCTTCTTCCACGCGTACAAGCAGTCGTTCGTAATAGAGACGTTGCTCTTCCAGTTGGCTATAGTTCACAAGGAGCAGAAATGAGTTCACACTTACTACATGATAAAATGATGAGTCAGCAAGTGCTGCTTACCTCTTCAAAAGAAAATTGTACTCGACTGCAAGCTTCTCAAGTTTCCGATGTTCCCCTTCCTCCTCCTCTGCGGAAGTAGTTGGCGGATTCTGTGAGCGTTCGCCGCTATGGTTTTCCGGACTTGGAAACTCCACAAACTTGCCATCTTGCTTGTTCAAAATCAATCGATGTACATATCCATCGCCCGCGTAGTCCCACACGCGCTGTGTCTCTAGTTCTAACGAATACGTATGCAGTGTATCCTGATAGTGTTCTTTAGCGTGTTCACCCGAGTATCGCCCACAGCCTACGTGGCCACAGATCAGACATATCCAAAGGTGCTCCGCTATGCCACAAACCTCGCACGACGACCCGATATCTCCATGGCTGTATCGACACACTGGACAGCTTGATCCTTCCCATCGAAAGAGACAATCACAATGAAAGGAATGATTACACAACGTCGTTAAAATACCCGACGCTGAAGCATCTAGTCGATCTAAACAGACTGCACACGTCGGAATCTCGGTCATTCCTGCAGGTGGTGGTGGAAATAATTTCCGCATTTGTTCACTGTTGATTCTTCTCTCCAACCGAGGACTTAAAGTACCAACAAGCGTATTTGCTTCATCTGCATCTTTTTCTTCCAATGCATCATTATCTGGATATTCTTCACCTACCACAGGATCAAACTCAATGCTTCTCACAAACACAATCTTACATCGTTCCTGCTCAATTGAGTTGAAATATTTACCATTATGGTCCTAATATATATCATATAGATAACATATAAATAAAGTAAGTAACATACGACACCATCAATTTGTACCCAAATAAAAAATGGGTTTACTTTCGTGCTTACGTGAAAAAATTGATCCGCTCGTTCTTGTGACTTAAATTGCATGAGTACCATACAATTACTACGTTCTGGATCCTTTAATATACGCACAAGTGCAATATCTTCTTGAAAACTCGCTAGAAAATCAAGAATCTCAACGGGAGACATATGTGATGGTACAGTCACGACACAAACCAATGCACTGCGTTCAGTAGGCAAATGTTGACTATCATGACTATTTTGGCTGTGACTGCTACTGCTACTGAGAGAAGAAGTAGAAGTAGAAGTAGAAGAATAAGGTCTATCGGCTCGATAGAAACGCAATTTTCCAGTAATAATTCGAACTTGTGGGTTACCAGTTAAAAAAGACGCATCATGTATTACTTGTAAAGTCTCTTCAGCTTTAACTTCCTCTTCTTCTGCATCGACTCGAATTTGAAACATTTTTGACAAAATGGGTAAAATATTTTAACTCGAAACTTAATAATGAGTAACTTCTGAATTCGAAAAAAAGAGCCTTTATTTATCTGGTTTTTATAGTTACCTTTTTTACACATGTCACGAAGAGAAAAGAGAGAGAGAATTAGGATGAAAACCGAATTTTGTATACATTAAATTAAACGACATTTAGAAAGAAAGTCCCTAAGAAAAAGTCGATTGAGTCTCTATTTTCGATTGTAATTAAACGTAGCGGGAAAACCAATGTTTCAACAGCCGTATGTGACCATTCTTCTTCTTCTTCATCATCTCTCCTTTGTTGTTTATTTATTTACTTGATTTGCTCTCTCCTGACTGACGAAGTGTCTTTGTCTCTCTTTTTTTGTATCAGATACACGACGGAGTATGTACAAAATGCACCAAATATTGACCCAATTAAACCGTACGCAGTCTCTTTCTCTCTCTCTTTTTCTTGACTCGATAATGTTATTATTGTCGCTCAATTCATTGAATGAACTGTTATCTTGTTTATTTATTTGTATAGGGAGCAAAAGAATGCTGAAGTGAAGACTATTTGCCAAGATTGGCCATTTGCACTACTTTTTGTAGTGAATGTGGGTGTTATTATCGCACTAATGGGCTTATGGGGCATCAAGACGCTGACGGATCCGGAAAATAACTCGAGCGAGCTATTGTCGGGTGATGATACAAAGGTTGCGATCGTTATTGCCACTGGCATGGCCGTTGTGTCCATGACATTGGCTCTACTGCTGGTTAAGCTTATTGTAGCCTACGCACGTGTCATGATTCTATTCGTGCTTTGGTTCAATGTGGTCATTTCATTTGCTTTTGCAGGTTATGGATTCATGATTGGCAATGTTTTTATTGCTGTTATTGGTCTCCTCATTGCTCTCTTGAACCTTTGCTACGCTCGTGCCGTGCAGCACCGCATCCCGTTTGCTGTTGCCAACTTGCGTGTGGCTGAAGGTGCGATTGCTAAGCATTCGTCCACCTATGCGGTATCGATTGTTTTCACTATTGTTCAGATCGTGTGGGTGGTAATATGGGCGATGGCTTTACTTGGTGTCGCCAACAAGATTGCTAAAAACAATCCGAGCTCTACGAGTACCACAACGTCTTCGAGATATACGTACAAGCAGTCGGGGGTTTCATATGTTGCGTACTTTTTCCTGCTCCTGTCATTCTACTGGGGCCTTCAGGTTTTCAAGAACGTTGCTCACACTACCGTCGCGGGTACGGTCGCGACATTCTGGTACAACGCAGAGTCATCTGGTGCTACGGGTGCCTCACTGAAGCGTAGCATGACTTCATCATTCGGATCCATTTGCTTTGGCTCGCTCATTGTCGCCTTTTTTGCAGGCGCTTCGCGCGGTGCGTTCCCCTGAGGTATTATGGGGGTAGTTGTTATGTTTATTTACTGATAGGAGGTCTTGGTTTTGTCTACAGTTGGCGGAAAATGGGCGCCAGGAGGGGAGCGCCTTGGCATGTGTTGCTGAGTGCATTTTGGGCTGCCTGCAGTCTATTATGGAGTACTTTAACCGCTGGGCATATGTCTATGTTGGAATCTATGGCTACAAGTTCACACAGGCTGGCAAGGCCGTATTTGAGCTTTTCAAGCAGCGTGGTTTTGATGCTATTATCAACGATGATCTTATTGGCAACGTGCTTGGCTTTGCAGCGCTTGGAATTGGTACGTGTCATGTGCATTGAAATGTTAAATAATTTGAAAATCGGGTATGACAAAACTTCTGGTTACATTTGTTAGGACTCATATGCGCTGGCGTTGGCGCGCTGATTGCGGAGACGACCGACACTTTCGCGTTCGAAAACAGCACGGCGTTTCTAGCGATCTTGGGTCTTGTGGTCGGCATCGGTGTTGCTGTCACACCCCTCGCTGTAATCGACAGTTCTGTTGCTACGATCTTTGTCTGTTTTGCTGAGGATCCGGCTGCTTTCCAATATTCGCATCCGGAATTGTACGCGCCGTTGGTGCAGGAGTGGCACAACCTTTACCCAGAGATTATGGTACAAGCGGGATATTACGTGTAGTGAGTGCCTCACTTGAGTCCGATGACAAGTTACACCGTTGCAGAAAAGTTGTATGCACCTAGCATTATGATGCACAGTTGTTGGAGACGTTTTGAGAACGCCTGTTTGTACCGACGCCGACGTATTGTATCCATAAGGTATCATTTATCTTGGCTGAAGTCTCTACTTATTTTGTTTCACGCAATCTTCAATATCGTCTCGCCATGTTGCGAAGTTATCCAGCACTGTTGATCTTTAGTATCTCGTCGTTATTGTCGTCATCTCTGGCTTCTTCTATGATTTCACTGCTGATTCATACAGCTTCAATTAGTCTTGTAGCTCGACGGCTTACGGACGTTGCTCCAGACACAAGCAATTTGAACCCAAGCTCCGATGTTTCGACAGCGATTCACTATGTAGCAATCTTTTTCCTCCTTGTCATGTCGGCCATCTCTTCAGGTCTTACTCTCGGTCTCTTGTCCTTAGATAAAGTGAGTTTAGATGTGATTGTCCGTGCAGGAAATCGGTTAGGAGCTACCGAGGAGGAAGTCATAAAGGCCAAGGCAGCGCAACGCATTTTACCCGTTCGTGCTGATAGTAATTTACTACTTACAACGCTCGTGCTCACAACGGTTGCTGTCAATAGTTTGTTGTCAATTCTAATTGCGGATATGACTAGTGCTCTCGTGAGCTTCTTTGCTTCGACAATTCTAATCCTTATATTTGGAGAAATTGTGCCTCAATCGCTCTGTTCGAGACACGCATTGTCAATTGGATCAAGATTTGTACCCGCTTGTTAAAGTGCTAAGACTAGTGCTGTATCCTTTTGCCAAAACCCGTGAGCTATGCGCTTGACCGTACAGTTGGAGAAGATGTGGGCACGGTATTTACCAAACGAGAGTTGCAACAACTTGTGGATATTCATGTAAGACAAAAGGTTATGCACCCTGATGAGGGACATATCGTACGCGGTGCAATGAGCTACAAGAACAAGGTCGTCAGTGACATTATGATCCCAGTCGACAAACTCTTTTCACTTCCGATATCCTTTTTTCCACGTTAGCAGTTTTGTTTTGTGGCGATGTGTTATGGTTGGCCAATGCTTGCTTGCTAGATTCCTTAACTGTATGACGTTGTTGTTGTTGTTATCGTGTTTGTCATGTCTGTTTTGTGTACGCTAGTACAATACTCAATTTAGACGTGCTCAAGCTGATCTACAATCAAGGATATAGCCGCATTCCCGTGTGGAATAAGGATCTGAACGACGTGGTTGGAATTATCTTTACCAAGGACTTGATATACGTGGACCCGAACCAAGAAGTGCCACTGATGGCATTTGCGCGTGTTTTTGCTGTCGCAGCGCATCGTATCTGGCTCGACGCAAAACTGGGTGAGGTGCTGAGCGTCTTCAAAATGGGCAGCACCCACATGGCACTTGTTTATGATGTCAATAACACGGGACCGGTAAGCTTACCATGAGATCTGAGTAAGACACACTGTTTACCTCATCATGTACATGTGTATTTATTTGTCAGAGTGATCCGTTCTACGAACTCAAGGGTTTAGTAACGCTTGAGGACATTGTAGAGGAGATTTTGCAGTCCAAGATCACAAACGAGACCAACTTGCGCGTGGCCAGGCAGGAACGCCAAAGCTGCACGGACCAAATCGGGTCTTGTAGCGGAGGTAAGTCTACAGTGGACAATATCTTCTTGATTCCTTCTAGTACCACCACCATTGTCGTCATTCGGTCTAAGTGCTTATCGACGTTATATGCTTTTGTTCAGCATACATGTTTTCCGACGAAGATCCACTACTCTCTGAGAGCAAGACGTCTTTTGGTACATCTCTCGAGCTTCAGAACCAAGTACAAAAAGCGCAAAGCAGGCTACTTCTCACGCAATGACAGAATCTTCATTTCCCTTACACCGAAGCTAATGACGGAAAGCCTCCTCATGCTGGAACTCCGACTAGCGGCTAATTACTATCCAATATGCATTTTTCACAGCAACTCTAACCAACAAAACAATTTTTCAGGTATCGCGTACTGTTGCAGAGGGTGACTACTACAATATGAGATTGGCGTTTATCTAAAGTACCATCGATTCGAACAGGTGTTTGAGCCCTTCGTGCTGTTCGTTCTCAATTGCTTGTAGAAACCCTATGCTGAAAAATTAGCAGCAAATTGCTCCTCACGTCGGCACTAGTTGCCACCATCAGTGGAAAACCAAATGCTTGGGTGATGCAAACTTGTCTTGTCGTTCAATGCAGCTCAAAAGCCCGACCGCATTTTACATGAAGCTTTCAGACCGAGTACATTACCGTAGCCGTAAGCATGATAGATCAGTGTGAATGTATCGATGAGTCGATATCACTGTCTCCAGTAAGCTTAAGGTAAAAGATTTATCTACAGAGCCAAACCGGATCGATGCATTGTTAGAAGGTCTGGAATCTGTGACGAGTCTTCGTATCATGCAAGAATACAACCCACCTCCAAACACTTTGCGGGTCACCAAAAAAAACTAAGGCATACAAATCTGCAAGTCGCATTACGCAGTCGCTGAATCAACATCAGCGGTTGGTGACAAGTCTCGTAGGGGTAGACAACGCACTTGACGGTTTTCTCGAACTTCACCATTACGGCATCGATCGATTCCTGCAACAATACAACAATACAAACCGTATCCAAGACGGCCAAAAAAACGCATCAAGCCCATGCTACAGGACCTGTCTCAAAGTTGTAAGCCGTTTAAAGAGCTGCCTGTTCAACAAACAGGCGGATTTGAGAAGCTTTCAAGCTGTTTGTGCCGCACAGCACCGCGTGGAAAAAATGTCGTCTTCTTCTTCTTACGCATACTGCCAAGCTCCTACGCGTATTCATCATGGACCAGCTGGTGCTACCAGGATCAACATGGCTTCGCCCGTTCCACTTGGAGCAAGCTCTTGAGCAAGTATCATGTTACGCGAGACAGTAAAAGTTAGCCCCGTTTGTAATACTCGATCTCGCAGTTTTTACAAAGCTGAAGATCAAACTTCCTGCAGTATTTAGAGACGACAGTGCGACAGCAAAGCGCCGAGAAATCGAGACGGAGCAGCTCAACACTTTCGTGATTTCCTTCTGTCGTGGATAACCTTGCACTTTTTGCTGTACAAAATGACACAAAGATAACCTAACAAGAGCTGCTAGCAATGGCCCTGCGATGCTATGATGTGTTCAACGTTACCAAAAGCACTGGATATGTACAATATTACCGTAGCTGTAAGTGTACAAATCCCTGAATATCATGAAAGCGTTTTCTGAGATAAATTATCTCGTGTCTTCTTTCGACGAAATCCAAGTTACGAGACAACCGAGCGTCTCAACTTTACCCACTTTTTATCTCCCGATCTCTCATGTAATGCTGGAAGATGCAATCTTCGTGCTGGTGCTTCTAAAATGTTGAAAAAAAATGCCGCAATATCTCTACCACTGGAAGGAAAATGCTGTCGTTAAAACTTATCTGACGCTAGAACTTCTTCAATGCACAGGCGCATTGAAAAGCAAATAAAGTCCAAATACGATAGAATCAGAGGAACGTGATCGACATGTTCCATACTGGACAGCAGACGCTTGCGTTCGGACGTTGATCAGTAGACCTTACACGTAGTTATCTGGCTTTCGTCAGCAACAAAAAAAAGCGCCTATGCAATGCATTCCTATGCGTCATGTTTAGAGCGCATGTATCCAATTTATCCTAGTTCCAGGAGCCCTTGCGAGGTGTCTTACCCCATACATACGTCAGTGAAGTTTATGGACTGCGATGAACAAGAGAGCCCACGTGCTTACTATGAAAATAACGTGAGATTTACTGTCAATGTAGACCACGAAAACACAGCCTGGTTCCGAAACAACCGTTAGACTTTCAGGCGTTTATCGATGATAATCTATAGTAAGATCAAATAGGTTGATAAGACGGTCGATTCAACGGTCATCAGAGCGAAGTAATGCGACCAGTCTAGTCTGCGCACGTTCGCCGAGACCTGCTGGAAACGCAGAGTCCGTATGTACCACAAGCGACGAGAACTGCTGGCACATGGCTGCTCCACTTTGTGATGCAACCTTAGCAGTGATTGAAATACTCCCAGTTTTCATTTTGCCACCAACGTCCCATTTGCTGTTCTAACTGTCAGAAGCTGCACTCTACTGAAACAATGCTGGGCAAACGTTGCGCATCGGAAATGGAGGCATGCCTCACCGAATACTATCGCCAGGAATGCCTGCGTGCTCTGTACGCCAAGCAAGAACGGCCACGCGATTGCACCTGGGTGAACAAGAATATGATGGCCAAGCCTCCTCGGAGAGCACGCAAGGGGCGTATCGTTCGCTATGGCTCCTGAGATCATTGGCAGTGCTGACCCTACCGTGGATCGCAGCCCGATCGATGTTTCTCCAGTCTCCAAGCTCGAGTTAATCGTCCTGCTTTCGCAGCGTACGTTCCCCGTCCAGGCTTAGACGAAATTACCGACCACGCAGTGTATCGGACAACCAGTACGCCAGAAAGTAGGCGTGCAAAACGATAAGACCACAATGCGCTGGACATACTCTTCCACTCCAGGTCCTGGAAGACGAGATGTGTCACCATTGAACAAAAGCAACCACCACTTCATTTCAAAGCATACAGCTTGTAGAATTACAACGAGCCGTTTAAGAATTAATTTCCTATTTAAGTGCAATAAACGCCGACATTTTATCAACTTTCTGGCTTAAGCATTCGTTACCATAACATAATCAATAACGTTTCACAGGCAGTTGACCTACCTTCCATAGGCTCAGCTTAATACCTTTCACGGCCGCACGGCTAGCCAAATCAGCGTTCGATATTGAGCGTGAGGCGTCTGACCTTTCGCCGCAACACAGCTTGCTCCAGTAGTTGTGCACGGGCTTTGCACGCATGACAAGTGATGAATCAGCTATAGATACCGCTTATGTGTACTCAATCCCAGCTATCTCAAGTCCGTGTCGTTAATTGACCTCAGCATTATTGATAGTTAGTTCACTGTCCTGGTGGAAAATCCCATCACTCGTGTCAACACATGCTCCTCATTTTCGTCTTCCCTTTACATGACCGGTATCAACTCCATCGTTTTACTCTTGACTCTTCCATTACGGACTGTATTGTCAAAGCTTTGCAGACGTAGTAGTGGTCTTTTTAGCTTTTGTGTCTTCATCCGATACGATCGTGATTGCAATGCAAAGGTAACAAGTAGTGGATCAAGCGAAAGTTCATGGAACTAGTGTAGCTACTACTGCTTGTTTCATCACTGTCTTTTGTCTCAGCACTACGGTTCAATCCCTTCTGAATAATAGATAACATATCTCCTGTATCCCAATGACTTATGAGGTAGACTACGCACGTTGTATTCTAGTATACATGGTACTCAGCTTCCGGACTTGACCATGTTCTATCTGTCTCATACAGTGTAAACTCAAACTCCATTGTCTATACCTAATTCACTGCATAATACATCAAGCATTCGTCATACAAAGTCTGGTAGTGCTATGTAACTTCCTTTTTCGATCTGTTCCATGCCGTCTGCTTTATTATAAATGAGCCAATTGTTATGCGTTTAATCGTTTAATCAACAATGATTGGTTAAAATTTGTGTTTTCCCTTCTGACCACCACTCTGTTCATCGTCCACAATTCATAGAAATCATGACAAAAGTGCGCGGCGTGTGCGGGTCACCATTGTCATCAGTGGATGAGGCAGAAGACACAGGACGACGTTCTTTCTCCTTTCCAGAATCAACTTCGTCTCCTGCATTGAAAAGGACACGTAGGAAGCGCAAAGGTAAAGAAATCGATCTTGCCAACGACAAAAAAGCTAAAATCCGAATCTTCCGCACTATTCGAGACAAAAGTATTCACAAACTTGTACAAGACGCACCAAGAGATTTGGTCACGTATTTAAATGATCAGATGAGTGTAATTCATCAAGAGAAACTCGAGAAAGAATATGGTCGAGGACAGGGGTATATTGTAACGCTACCATTGCCTAGCTCGAAGAAGAAGCGGAAGGAGTATGAGAATTGGATCAAAGAATTGGGTTTTACATCCGGTACTGCATTGAAACAAAATGCTTTGCGTATTTCTAGTCTCAAGGCAGATGTGATTATCAATGAGTTAAAGCGGAGAATGTCGTCTATGGCCGAGTACGTCCAAGAGACAAAACATTTTTAGTAGGCAGTTTTTCTTTTCTTATTGTTTATACTTATTGTTTTATGTGTGAATTAATGTAGGAAATGGGACATAGAGAAAGCAGAAGAAGTAGAAGACTCAAATGTGGTAAAGGAGTTGATGAGTAAAGGCGATACATTATTGAATAATGAACAAGAAGAAGAAGAAAAATCGACTGGAGATGACGCCACAGATATGGCAATGATGATTCGGCTCAAACAATACTATCAAAAACTGGAATCACAGAAAACTTGAGGTCGTATCATTTGAGGAAAACCACCGACTATTATCATCGACACAGCACACGGCAATTGCTGATGCAATGGAAGACGTACTGGCACAGCCTTCGACTCGTCGTGACCGTCGTCTTGACCAGACGGTTATCTAAGTTGGGAAGAATATCAGGCCGGCGTTTGTCTTCTATTGCACTGGCGCCATCGTCTTCCTCTTTTCTTCCACTTGTTGAAGACGATTGGCTCTGGGATCGAAAAAATGGAAACAAGGGCACGGACACCAATCAAGCGTCACGTTTCGCTTGGTGACAACGGAGTAGCCGAGAAGACGAAGGTGGAGGGAGAACGTGTGTTGTATCTTGTACTTGACTCAGGTTTGATAGATGTGAAGGTATTCAAGGAAGTGCTGCGCAAGGTATCTACAGTGTACGTTTGGAGCATGTTTACGAGGTTCATCCAAACCGCTAATTCAGACCGTATGATGTATTGCAAACAGAGCATACGCTTGGCTTATCGCGGACTACTCCAAGTACGTAGAAACTATCGGTGAAGTGTCTGTGATGCTACGCTTTGAGCTTATATCGCGATGTTGTCAATCGTGCTAATGTAGGAAAGCAAACGTCTACTCGACGGCGTATATGTACTATTGCCACCCGCACGGTCATTATCTTGCGAATGGTGCTTATAAAGAAGTCTTCAAGGTGTTTTCGTCACAAAAGTGTCGGCTAGAGGCTATCAGCGTGATGGATATTAGCGCAATTGAAGCTGCCGGTAACCAGGTAAGCGTACAAGTATTTGAAAAGGATGTGACGTATTTGCATGGACTCATTTGGTATTTGTTATTGTCGTAGAGTGTCGTTTGTCAAGAGGTGGCCCACTCGGTCCACTGCTATCGCACGCTACTGAGCAAGGCATGTGTCCAAATTTCCTCCGGATTTACGATGTTTTTCTTGCGTACGAGCAACCCCGCTCTGATCTTTGGGGTAGCAAAACAAATCGCAAGCCGGCTGAGTTGTTGACAGAGACAAACCATAACCCTGGCGCTTTCATCTGCCAGGAGGATCCATTGGTATCCTCAAGCGACGAATGTAACCGATTGTTCCAATATATTCGGATGGAGTTTTGTGATGGTGGTGATTTAGAAGATTTTATCGGACTACAAAGGAATAAGACGCTACCTCTCGCAACTGTATCCGGTGCCATTTTTCTTTCAAATGGTGTATAGTCTGTACTGTGCTCGAGAAAAGTTTAACTTGCGACACTGTGATATTAAGGTATGTTACCTGCATCCTGTAATTGAAGTTGTAAGCTAACGTGTTTTTTGCTGAATGAACACAGCTTCTCAACTTCTTTCTGAGGACATTGGTCGTGCTGATCTCCGCAAGGACCCAGGATCTAATATCGTATTGCATTATTTGCTGGAAGATGTTTGCTTTGTTTTTCAAATGCCCGCCTCCTTTTCGTACTGGGTAAAATTGGCTGATTTTGGTGCGGCTGACTCAAACCCGGAAAACTTGGGAAGTCCAGTCACAATTGATCAGTTCACTACCCTAGAAAATACACCGGTCGAGTTCTTGCTAGAAGGTGACGCAGCCAAGCAGTCCTATGCAGCAGACACATTTTGTTTGGGCCTCTGCGTGCTACACTTGTTTACTGGATGGTATGTCATATTTTGCCTCGATCTACTGTCGCATTTCGTGCTCTCTTGACCTGTTTGCTGGTTTTTGTGCATAGCGCACCATACGAAGAGATTTTGGAACACGTGACTTGCCCTGCGGAACTTCTGAAGGACCTCAAGTTCATTTGGATGGTACGTATTTTATGATAAAAAAGCAAAGCGTTTAGTCGTTTAATAATGTGACCTGGGTTTGAATGCTTCACCGGAATGTAATGTAAAGAGCCCACGGAAGAATTCAGGATTTTCTGTGATTAAAAGCGTGGCGCGCGGTGATGATGAAAATACGCTCTGCCACAGTCTCTATCGATTTGTTGTGCTCTTTGGGCTACCGATGCAAAACCCAAACGAAAGAAATGGAATTGACAAGGTATGGCAACTGTTGCTGAAACATTTACGACCAGATGATCCAGCGCTTAGTCATCCCCAGCGACGACCCAGACGAACGAGAGGCGCGGGTGTGGCTGAACGACACGCTAAATCGACGAAGAGTTAATTTGACTATGATCAGTCGTTGTACTCTGTTGCCAGAGGTTCCAATAATGTTATTCGTCGATGCCGCGAAGGACTGCAGACGATTCCGGGAGCAATGGACTTACTGAATAGGATGGTGGTTTCGATCCTACAAAGCGTCCCACACTCAAGCAAGTGATGTATCACCCAATATTTTCCAGTTTTCGGGTGTCGCCTTCCAAAAAAAGGAAAAAGAAACGCCACCAGACTATGTTGTTAGTTACTATAGCAGTCTGTATCGAAGGGGCCAAGCAATTCCGGACATTTAGGCGAGAGGGTGTTTGCATATTCCATTAGAGGAAGAACTTCGATCGCATGACGTGCTAGTACCAGCGTAAATGCATGACATACAATTTCTATTATTAATACGATCTATCTAAATACGATAAGAGAGAAGTCCCTGAATGACTTCAAAACACTTTCGAAGTCGTCAAACGTCATAAGCGTTCACTTCAATCCATAACGTTGTCCAACAACTCTAGCCACCTCTTAACTGCTCCATCCTCTCATAAGACCTTCCACACGATGCACTGTTATCTTGATCCGGACGCTGGGCTGTACAGATTTCACGGATGGTAATCCGTTGGCTTCAAGTACTTCTGTCCATTCACGGCAACCACCCGTGAACCAACCAAAACACCATGCCTTCTTGCAATACACTCTTCATCAGCGCTACGTACGACGCAGTAAAAACCAGTCGTAGACAATGAGGATGCATCCCCGAACTCCTCCGCATCATGCAGTGTTATATTAATTTCGACAACTCTGGGTTCCGGGACGGATAAAACCACCGTCTTTGGTCCTTCAAATGCAGCCTGAGAGCGGAAGACGAAGTGGAACAATATTGGCCGCGGCAATGTTGGGAGCATACCAACAACCTCGTTAAATTTCAAGTTCTTCTCGTCGTTGAGGCCGATCAGCAAGCTACCAACAATTACGTTTGCTCGTTCTGCAGCACCACCTGGAATGACTCGACACACTTCTGCATAGCCACTACTAGCCTTCGCCACGGTGAAGCCTAATGGCACACCAGGAGCTCCAATCTTTTGTTCATACATTCTCCATCCCACCGTTCGCAGAGAATACAAGACACAGCAAGAGGTAGACAACAACATAAGTTCTCTGTAGCGCATAAATTCAAGATCCATAACACCTACCGTGCGCTGACGAAACACAATTTGAATGCGCATTCAGGTTGTTCAACGAAACCATTATGCAGCACATTGTGCATTTGACAGTCGTGTTGTCAACATGATCACTCAGATATTCTGCCTTCGTAGCTGGCATCGCTGACAAAGTACAGCTCTTCGTCAGCAAAGAGTTCTCATCACTAAGTGGCGAAATATTAGCAAGCATCGTCAAAAATGACGTCGCAGTAAGTAAGCACGCAACGGATGAATCCTTTACTGCAGCTAGTGCAGCTCGACTCTTGTAAGCTTTTGCCACGCTGGACGAGTACCTTTCCCAACATCGGAAGGTCGGCAGCTCCGGCTCCAGCACACACAGCGGACCATTTGGCATTGCCACCCAGTTCCAGTGCACGCACCTCACTCTTTGACCACGCATCCATTTCCAGTGACTTAACAAAGCTCGTCTTTACACCCAACGATCGGTGTTTTCCGGCACAGGTCAGACACAGCAAGATGCCAAAGGAGACGCCTGCCCATTGAGGAAAGATAGCCTTGCAATCGGCACAGCGCTGGAAATAGCCCGGAACGTTAGCATCACTACAAGCTCTTAATAGTATAATCACAATAATGGAAAACAAACATACGTCGTTGCCAGGTAAAAGACGGATTGTCACCTCCGTCGCAGATGAAAGACGCATCATTGCCACTGGCTCGGGCATCACACCACAATTGGATCTGGACGTTGCACTTACCGAGGTAATGTCGGTGGGGTCAAGTGATGGAACTACAGCTAGGAGAAGAGGAAGTAGAAAGGGTGTGTGCTCGTCTTTGAGCAACGCAATGGCAGAAGAAGGGGACAAACCTGATCGGACACAATGACACGACAAGAATTAAGTGCTGCTAATTCTGGGTCCAAACGTCTTTTGCTCTGAATTGGACAACGCCAAGACTCGGAACGTGCTTGGAATATGAGATGAACACATAAATTGAAGCGCATTGTTTTTACACGGTTTTGTAAAGTGAGAGAAAGTACAGGCTTGAAACGGAAAAACAAATACATTTGCTTTATTTTAGAGCTACGACGTATACGTATAGGTGTATACACCCCTGAATAAATAACTTACAAATTTTATTCAACACACAAGTCTTACGTTGCGTCACCTTTTCGTAGCCATTTCGTGAAACAGCTGGTCGATTTGGCTGGCTGCCATGTGCCCGTCACTACTAAAGTCGCTACTGAGCCAGACAGTAATCTAGTTCCTCTTTGCACACACGACCTTATCATGGACTTCTTGGCGCTAGTGGCTGCTCTTGTGAGCAACGATAATGCAACACGTAAGCAGGCAGAGGCGTCGGTATGAGGCCTTCAAGGCGGAACAACCACAGGCTCTTGTGATCAGCCTCGTGCAACTACTACACTCGGCCTCTGATCCGGAAGCGCGTGCTTTTGCTCCAGTGCTATTGCGTCAGCTACTAGAGGCTAAGACTGGCGTGTACACGCGCTTGGATACGGATGCCAGGCAGTTCTTAAGGTGCAGCTATTAGAGGCCCTGGTCACCGAGCCCATAGCTCACGTTCGCCGCAAACTTGGCCACTTGATTGCTGAACTGGCTGTTGTCTCGGGAAGTACGAGCAAGCGTGGCCCGAGCTGCTGAATGTCGTATCAGCTCTTACCACAAATGCTGACGCACTGTTACGCGTGACAGCCTTCGACTTGCTGGCCAAGCTAGCCGAGTACGTGAGTGACCTGCTAGTTCCGCATAAAGAAAGCTTCCTTACGCTTTTTACCAACTCGCTCAACGATGCAAACGGAGAAGTGCAGATTGCCAGCCTCAAGGCTGCATCAGCTTTCCTGCTGACGCTCGAGGACAAGCAGGAATTATTGGCGTTTGCCATTATTGTGAGCCCCTATGTTGCGTATCATTGAAGTGCTGGTGAATGCTGGAGACAGAAATTGCTTTTCGTGAGGTACTGTCGGCTCTTGTGCAGATTGCTGAAGTACACCCCAAATTTTTCCGCAACTCTCTGGGCGACGTGGCCCGTGCCATGATCTCTGTGTGCTCGTCACAAGAGCTTGACTCGGAGACTCGTGAGCTTGCTTTGGGGTTCGTCATTGAGCTGTGTGAAAATGCTGGTGGCATGGTACGCAAATCGCAGTTCATCGTCACGAACAGTGGTGCTTTTAGTTATTCGGCTGATGTGCGAGGTTGAGGAGGGACGAGACGTGGGTGCAGAAATTTGACGATCCGGAGACCTTCGCTGAGGCCAATGACGCCGACAACTCGATCAGTGACGCTGGTGCCGCGGCAATTGATCGTCTGAGCACGTCTCTTGGTGGCAGCGCTGTGCTACCTGTAGCCATCCCGGTCATTAAGGATTTTCTCGGTGATGCCGACTGGCGCAAACGTCGCGCTGGCCTATATGCTATCTGCCTGCTAGGTGAGGGTGCGAAGTCGCTCATGACCCGTGAGCTGATAATGTAGTGGGAATGGTTTGCCTTTTCTGAACGATCAACACCCGCGTGTGCAGTACGCTGCGCTGCACAGTCTTGGACAGATTGCCGAGGACTTTGGTGAGGTGGAGAAGGGAAAAAACTTTCAGGCAAAATTTCACACAATGGTGATACCGGCGCTTACGGCGTTGGTTCAGAATGAACAAGGTGTGCTGCGTACCCGTGCTCTGGCTGCCAGTGTGGTTATCAACTTTTGCTACACGAACGTATGTAAGGCCAAGTACGTGATTCCATACAGCCAAGCTTTGCTCGAGGGCTCTCTTTAATACGATGCGCTCGTGTCCACGCCAGGTGCAGGAACAGGCTATCACTGCTGTTGCGCAGCGTGGCCAAGGTAATTGGTGATGAGTTTCTCCGCTTTTACGATATTTTCATCCCGCTTGCGAAGGAGGTGCTGACGAACGCCCATGGCAAGGAGTACGCTCTGCTTCGTGGCAAATCCATGGAGTCAATTGCTCTCATCGGTCAAGCTGTGGGCAAGGAGCGTTTTGTAAATGATGCCAAGGAGATCATGGAGATTTTAGTGCGTGTGCAGTCCAGTGAGGGAGATGGAAGGCCCAGTGGTGCAGTATGTGGCGCAATCGTGCGTGCGTATTGGCAGTATCCTGAAAGAGGATTTTGTCCCATATTTGCCTCACGTGATCCCGGCGCTTATCAAAGCAGGCGCAGATTCAGCCAGACATTCAGCTGTCGGATGCCACTGATGACGATGTCGAGGAGGATGGTCAGACTGTCGATGGCTTGGACACCATGACGCTGCAGATTCGTGGCGTGGGAAAGAAGCGCCTGGAAATCAATGCGAGTGCTCTCGAAGACAAGACAAATGCGTGCAATATGCTTTACCAATCGGCGCTTGATCTGGAGGGGTTGGTTCTACCCGTACGTAGCCGAGGTGGCACAGGTAATGATCCCGCTGATTGACTTCGAGTATGTCGAAGACATTCGTATTGTGAGCAGTTTGACCATGGCTAAGCTGCTGAACTGCGCTGTGGAGGGCACGATGCACCACGGCTATGGCGCGACAGCGCCGCAGTTCCCACAGCAGCTTTTTGAGGAGTTCTTCGAGCCAATGCTGAAGAGTCTACAAGAAAGAAGAGGATCTGGAGTGTCTTGGCGCGTTTGCTGGGGCCATGTCGGCGAGTCCTGGAGTGTGCAAAGAAAGCCAAAAAAGGGTTATCAGGTTGGTATTCCTTTAGAGCACGTCCCGCGCATAGTGGGGGAGATTTTTAAGACCGTGGCGTCCAACGGTGCCCAGCGTTTAATGAAGCAACACCACGAGAACCAACAAGGATGAAGATTATGACGCTGAGTCTGCTCGACAACAGACCGAGAACAATGAGCTTGAAGAAGGCATCTTTCGGTCGATGATTGACTCGATCGGCTGGATCGTGAAGGTTCAGAAGGAAGCGTTCTTTCCCTGTGTTCAAGGCGCACTTGTTGACATTCGTGACGCCGCTATTGGAATAGAAGACGGTATCGATGCTGCGCGGTCAGGCTATCTGCATGATTGATGATATCATTGAGCACTGCGATACTTCTGCCCAGGAGCTGCTGCCACTGTTTCTGAACCACCTTGTTCAGGGTCTTGAGGATCAGAGTCCGTCAGTAATCCAAGCGTCAGCTTACGGTATTGGTGTCAGTGCTGAGAAGTGTGGCGCTGCGCTTCGATCCTTCTGTCAGAATGCGCTTGAGAAGATGGTGCACTTGATTAACGTCTCAACGAACGTGGATGATGACGAAGTTGGTGCGGCGTGTGACAACGCTATTAGCGCTGTGGCCAAGATCTGTTTGGCTCGCGAAGGTGCTGTAGACGCTGCCAAAATGTGGCCCATGTGGCTCAGCTGGCTGCCACTTCGTGCGGATGTGCTTGAAGCGCAGGAGGTGCATGCTCGACTAATTTCATTGGTGAGCAGCAGCAATGCTCATGTGCTTGGCGCCAATTACTCTAACCTCGTCCAGATCCTGAAGGTGTTCGCATCGGCACTTCGTGAAAGTTGCAGTTGTGTCCGATGTTTTGTCTATATGAGGGGACTGCATTTAACTGGTGTTGTCTTTTGTTTTGTCTCTACGAATGCGCGGTCATTCGACATGGCGGCAGAGGAGGACGCCGCAGAGGACGAGGAGGTGTCGACTATTTCAGAGGAGTCAAGCCGAAACTCCGTGAATTGCTGGTCAAGTTGCAATCTCAGCTGCCTGTTTCAGTGGTGCAGAATGCCTGGTCGAAACTTAGCGGTGATGAGCAGCAGGCTCTGTCTCAGCTGTAACATGTCTGGTAAAACGTTAGACAGCGATTGATAGAAGTACGAAAACGATATATAGTAATGGATTTTGTCGCGTGTGCAAGCTACAAGTAGTAGTGGTTGCTGTGTCGCCTTCATCGATGCACTCTCAAACGCTGTTAGTTGAGCAGCATATATGATTCTGTTCCGTACTTGATGGTAAATGTTTGATCCTGTGACCTACATCTCCATGTCGTATTCATTTGTCCATCAGGTTGTAAGACTTACAAACTTGTAAAGAAATCGATAATCAGCAGCATGTTTCGTTGCAGTTCTCAGTTGTACAAGCTCATATTACTCGAACAAAAAAGATCTGCATCACATTACGTACTTATTGAAACCACACAATCCACACCTTATCTTTTAAACAAAAACTTGAGTGCCAGGCCTGCCACGACCACTGCACCAACAATACCCACGCCTACCCCTCCATCTTCCTATTGACCAACATCCCATAAATGCATTGTATAGACGACAAGTACATTACTAATAATTTCTATCATAAGAATAAAAATACTACTATATCAAATTCATACAAGACCACCAACCTTTTGCAACAACCTCTTTGATCCTTTCGTGTAGTTAGTGAGCTTTCATGTGTGATGGTTCAATCTGGAGCAAACGTTCGCAGTACGTGCGACTATCACGATACTCGCCTAATCCACATAACGTCAATGCAATCCAATATAAACTTTCCTTGGGAGCATAAGTTTGTTCCAATAGATCTAATACCACATTTTGATTCATACTAAATATCAGAGTAGTCCATTTGTTACATTACAACTTGATTTGTGACCTTCTAGTAATCCAATTGCACGATATTTGTCATCACGCTTGTGACTTTTTGCCAATGCAATAGCATATCGCATTTTGACCTTCATTCCGCAACACAACAATAGCACCAAATACATTCTTTACCTCAAATGATCATAAAAAGACATACCGCACTGCATTGGTGGAAGCAGAATGTATGTAAATATGATTTGGTACCTGAGGTGACAGCTGTTCTTTTTCTTGTTCTTGTAGATATTCCTCACGTGCATCAGCCAATTCTTCGGGGAAAACCACTCTGTATCCTTATTGACACTTTTCATCGTCATGATAGCACGTGTCGACGCGTTACCAGCGTCCTTTCACGACAGTTGTTAAGTGCGTTTGCTTCTTCGTGATGCAATCAATCGATCTATAACTGTTTGCGCAAATGAAACAGACCAAAAATGATTTAGTTCGACCAAAATTCATATTGAAGTTCATGCTTTCATAAATTTGACTACCAGTTATTGACTACCAGCCCAATCACATCAGGACGATTTCGTAATGGAAGACGACGAAATGAGTAAAGTAGAATAGTCCTTTTGATAAGCATTGCAAACATGGAGGAGAAGCTGATCACGGACATACAAGCAATGTTCGTGATATAATATAATTGGTCAGTATGAAATAATTGGTATCAGAAATAATGGCGCACGGTAGACGTACCTGAGCATTAAGCACGTTAATGAATATGATTCCACTGAACGCCATGACAAAATACAGCTGTAAAACAATGTTAGCTACAAACGGCTGAGGAACCATAGACAAGTATGCCAGGTGCGAAGCGAGTAATGGAGTGTCATACCTGGTGCTCAAATAGACGTCTTGCTTGATATGTCGGCACGGCAACGATCACGTGTAGGCAAGAACCGAACCAAGGCGAAAGATGTCCACTGCGCGCGCCAGACCCATCGTAATAATGAAGACTGTCGCACAGAGTAATTGCTCATCGTCAATAGTTTCCGGGTGTGCAAGAACACTGAATGCAACTCGCAGACAGGTGCGGGTGACAGCAGTGGTACGCCAACCTTTCTGGTGAGCGCAGAAATGTAGCAGCTGAGCACCACTAATTGGTGTAGAACGATGCCTGGAGACTTGATGTAAAGACCGTTCACCACGTAATCCCCCACAAGTCATACGCAAAGTATCCTGTCAAAATACTCATACGTCAATATCAAGTCCATCTAATATAGAGCTTCCAATCACACCCATCTTCTTACCCGTTGAAACAGAGGTGGCGACGAATTCGCTTCTCGTGACAGTATTTACGTAATCGCCATGTAGTGAGTGTGACGTAAGCAGTGCAAAAATTGCCAGCGCCGACGATAGGTGCCGAATGCAGTATTGATACTGCTGTATTGCCGCACAAAAGTTGGCTGAACGTCGACAAGGCGGGAAACGACTTCACCTTGGATAAAACAAGCGGGACAATCACTACCCGAATCGTCGCAAAAGCCTGAGATCCAACAGCATCTGTAACATGAACACTATGCCCAAAACCATATGCAAAACGGTAAAAATGCAATTGCTAGATGATTATATACCATTGAAGAAGCCACGACGATCCAGAGCGTTGAATTGCTGTGCAACTACCAAGACAATGTCAATGCATAAGGTTATTCAAGCCAATGTGATAGCAGTTCCATATTATAAAGTCTCACCAGGATCACACACATGCTGATCCACGTGATGATAAGCGCTTTAGTAGACATAGGTATCACCGAGTAGATGCTTTTATACTCAGTTAAGATATGTGGCTTTTTCTTGTGTGTTTCTGTTTGTTATGGCAACCGTCCTTCAGTATCAATCGGTTTGCCATGGAATGAATATGTATGACCACTAATACAAGGACATTGAAACGGAATTATTACCAATCCGAAGCATCATCAGTCTATTGAAACCGTACTATGGACTCATCAGTCTTATTATTATTACTAGACGAATTGAAGACTTGAGCATCTGAATTTTTCAGTCTGCTTTCGTCGAATGATACAGAGCAGCGACAAAATGCTCTTGATCTTTTGTTGACACATTGAAACTTTAATTAAATTCTACGACGTCGTATACAATCAAAAGCTTGGGCAAATTCTAAGTGTGGAAATGGGGGCAATAAATTGTTTTTTTTTGTAAAATACTACAGACAGGAAGTGAAAACGAGGCTGCTGCGTCAATCCATCGACGGCAGTTATACACATATCTTCTCTCTTCGTATCCAGATTGGAAAAAAAAATCTTCAGAGCTCGCATTGCCAGCTAGCGTTGACGTCGTGAGCCAGGACTTTTTTCTTACTAGTATTGTCTTGAGTCACGCCGCGTCTCTTCGTTTGTATGCACTTGATCTTCTGATAAATTATGATGATGCGGGGAGAAAGACAGGAGCCAGCTGGAGACAAACCTCTTTTACTCGTTCTCGCGACAAATGCGCTGGAATATCGTCAAACGAGAAAACTTGGATGTCCCAGACTCCGTGCTGCTCACAGAACCGCGGTGAGACTGCATTCAACGCCTCGGCACTGCAGCAACTTGAAATGCTGCTGCGCAAGTCAAAATTTCAAGGTCGCTGCTTTGGAACGAATAATCGAGGAACGAGTGCTGGCTTAGGTAGGAATCAAACTCCGGCTTAGGCGGCGACAGGCCAGACAGGGGTGCCAATGACATTGGCTGATTGAAGCCGCCAAACGGCTGGGACAGGTCGATCGGCTCCAGCCCATTGCCATACGGGTTCACGAGAGAAAATCCTTCCGACTGCGTCTCCTGATCGTCTGACTCGCTTGCAGTACTCGAAAGGTCGCTGCTGCCGTAGTTGACAAACCGCTGGTCTTCTTCACCAGGGTGTCGAGTGTGAATGAAGCGGCATCGTGAACCATACATGCACTTGCCCGTAGACAAATAGGCCTTGCGGCGAGTGGTTTTGTACTTGGGGTGGCGCAGTACACCACGCAGTTCCTCCTCACCGTGTGCAAACTGACACTTGGAGCCATAACGACAGCTTCCATTTTTCCGTATAGTGCTTGCAAGTTCAGTCTTATAAAAGATTGTTGCGAGCTGTCTGTGGTGAACGTCCCACAGTCAACGATATCGCCATTGGCGAGGACGTGCATTCGGTTTGGGTTGCCGTAGCTTGGAGTCTCAGCAGGTCCTATGTCGGTCATCGTGGGTGTATCTCGTTGTCTTGGTTAATATAATTGTAATTGTGCGATCGAAACGTCTATGAACTTGTATCTGCTAAGGCTAGAGATGGAAAAATGAAGAGATGACAGGGCTGAGAGAGAGAGAGATCGAAGCTAAGAAAGTCGTCAATGAGGAGAGAAGCTCGAAAAAACCAAACTGTTAATCTCGAATACGAGCGAAGTTGCGTTGTGACGTGCTCAATGCGCCAAGATTTTCGATCTCGACGCACGAGTGGACATTGATAGAATTTCTCACAAGAGCTGAACTTTGGGTAAAAAAAGCAGTCGTATCAGGCTTGACGACGGACTACAAAAGGTGCAACACACAGACACAACCCTGTCTCTTCTGCCTATTCTTGACTCGAAAGTTGGATTTTCATACAAAAAACAAGATAATCCGGGTTCAGTGAAACCTTATCCTAGTGTAAGAAACCCATCGAATGGCAAGCATGACCTTATTCCTTTGCCAACCTCTGCCCTACGTTCCGTAGCTGTTTTTGTCTGAATGAGGACGCGACGTAAGATTGATAATTTCTTTGCCTAAGGAATGATTTATATGTATATAATAGCAATAGTAGATCATTGGATGTACTTTTAATGATAGGCTTTTGTGTTGTTTTCTTGTATTTGTTCATAACTACTGCACTCCTTTTCCCGCCATCGTGCGTTCGGGATAAGCACACGCCCAGGCGACGACAGCTTGCAACTTGCGCTCGCTACACGGCGATCAGATATGGGGCTTATACACGGCACAAATGCTACTCCACGACCATTCTCTCCATCTGGTTCCATTCGTCTCGTCTCTTCCAACTGTTGAGCCCCGTTTTTACAGCGCTACAGATGGCCAAGCGCTTGTACTGACTGATGAGTGCACAAGGCACAGAAGCAAGCGTGGAAGAGAGAGAGAGAAGGGAATTCAAAAAGGGCCGGCATAGCTCGGCGCACATCGCAACCAAACAATGTTAAGCACCATCCGCACAGCAAGATCCAATGATTGCTCGACGATCCCCATCGCTGAACAGACTGCGAGCCTGCCGGGGTCGTTAGTGTCGATTACCAGCACAAGCACGTGCGATTCCCGGCCACAGATGGCGCGAATTATACTTGCTGCTCAACATTCCATTGTTTGCGCTGGCAACATGAAATTTATGCGGCCACCTTTGAGGCTGTTAGCCTCAACAACAGCAATCATTGCTGCCTTATTATTTCGCCATTAAGACCTGTCTATCCGGACGCGCGTAGTGCACCGAAAAGTACGACCGGCTGACGAGAAACTTTTGATGTACTGACTATCTCTTAGGCGTATATAGTTGTAGCAATTTCTAAGCAATACGTCGATGGTTCCCGCGTCAAACGTAACGTTTGTTAGGCTATAGAATAAGTGCGATCGCTGCAGGAACAGAAAAGCACACCTTTGTCATTGTTGTAGCTGGTGGACATGTTGTCCTATCGACTTTGCTAATGCTGTGGCAACGAGATCGTAAAAGCCACAACTTTGACGCAAAAAATTGCTGTGCCAACTTGCTATGCTAACTTGCTATGCTAACTTGCTATGCTAATAGTTCAAATCTCTGTAGGGTCATTTGATTACATGCTCCAGTCCGAATGCTACTTAAGCTTCAACAATTGTGTCGCGTAATTGATACGGGATCACCAGTCAAAGAGACATTGTCTCCTGGATGATCAGGAGCAGGGACCATGTCAAGACGAAGTGGCGATGCGGGCAACAACGCGACAGCTACCTCAACGTCACAATCACAAAACCAGGACGATAGAGAACTGTCGAACGCTGGTTCTGTCCCGCTATACAATGACAGCTTTGCTATTGACGGCAAGGTCTACTTCTTTTATTAACGAACAAATTCCTCTCCCCTCAAGGCGTAATTGCTGAAGTGCCTGCAGACTTTTCCACGAGATCCCAGTAATGTGCGACGTTTTTGGCCTCCATCACCTTCCGCGCTGTGACGGGCATCCGACACTCCAGAAAACGAGAAGTTGTTGAAAGCCTTACGAGCGACGACGCCCTGCCAGACAAGCAGACACCCGTTGCCGTGCTTCGACGAGTCCTCATCTTCACTATCTGACTCCTCGTCTGCCACACGGTCCCCATTCCAGTCGATGCGTCGCATCATTAGCTTCGAATACTGCTTGATAGCCTTCTTACCTCCTTCCACTACCACCATGTTGATATTACTATCTTTACAAAGTAGCACACCTACCCGTGAGATGATACTGTTGCGCGTTGACATCGACCTTAAAACGATGCTGCGGGTTCGAAAGATCCGGCACCCTTTTTCGTAGTAAAACCAAATTTGGTTTCAGTATGCGGAACATAGAAAGCACTAAGAGAAAGCAGTGACGTACTTAAAGAGCGCCACATGAATATCGCCAGCGGCATCTTTTTGATCTTGCGAAGCTTTTTCTCCCGACGCTCTTCGGGCGTAAGCTTACGCGCGAGGTTGCGCATTTCATGATTTTTCTCGCGCTGCGCTATCTGTTCGCGAACCTGGCGCTCAATTGCCGACGGGTCGGCCACGGCTATGCCTCTGACGGCACGCGCATCATATTTGACAGCTTCACCTTGGGCTCAGGAGGCGGCAGCAAGCCTGGGTGCAATCTTGTCTTGCTTCTCTTTTTCACGATCAGCGCGGTTTTGACGCCGAATTTTCTTCCCACTCCTGCATTGTCAAAACATGTTAGCATTGTTACATGCTTCACCAAACAATTCAGTTCAGCACGCAATACTTACTGCCCAGTGAGCATGAGCGGAACAGCTACGAGTGTGTCGTCGTGCTTTACAATCAGGTTGAGACGCACAGGATGCTCAATAACATGTGCAGTCCCACAGTATTTCAGTTTCATATCAGCGTATGATACCGTAACAACTGAATGCTCTTTAGGGACATTAGCCTTAATAAACCCAAACTTGTCCACTAAAACACGCAGGTTCTGTGGAAGGTATTCCACATCCCACCACTCTATGTCAGGTGTACATGTCTCTGGCAGAGGTGGAATATCAATGTTGTCAAATTCCATTCTACAAGTCAGTGTCAGCATCTTCCAAGACGGTGCTTGCATCATCATCAATGAAACAATCGATTCCTTTGCCGATATCCTCGCGGGTTACGTCCCGACGTAAAACCAGCCATCATCTTCTTGGCGTCCGGGCGCGCACTTATTCTGCCTAGCTACGCTCTCGTTCCTTGCGCAACAAAGTTAAATGTCTTGCGAGCGCGGCTGCATCTCGTCATCATACACACAAATAAACCAAGAGAAAAGTCAGCACAAACAATATCACAACCAAGCTACTTTTTCATCTAGGTCACGAACGTTTCTCGTTTGGTCGTCTTCAACCTCGGGTCCACTGTCTCCAGCCTATCTTGTTCTTCCACCGTGCGATGTAACAAGTACGGATTCCGACGTTTCTTTGGAAGCGTGATCTCCTCTCGCTCCTCCTTGGTTTGCCTTCAGCGTGGCTACGGATGTCACCATCGGTTTCTCTGCAACGACGTTCCCTGCGGCATCAATCTCTCGACCCTGTTCGTCCAAAGCAATGGTGCTGGCATAAAACTCCCGCTAAGAGGTAAATCAGCGCTGCGTTGCTGCAGGTGCAGCTGCCACAGCTCCTGCCGCAGGAGCTCCAGGCTTCCGCAACAGCGCCTTAATGTGGCTCATCTGGCTCTGCCGACTTATAAATCTGGTCTGTTCTACGTCTTTTCTCCCTGCTCAATCCGACGCATTTCTTCAGAATCCAACGAAACCGCTTTCACACTTGTTATGGCTGCTGACATGGATGCAGTTGTTGTAGCAGCGGACCCGGAATAGCCCGCGCGATCTTGGCTGCTGCAGCTCGTGCCAAAGCTGCAGGATCCAATGAAAATGATGACACAGCAGTATTCACAGCCTGGTTCTTGTCTACTGGTGCTACAGAATCTGGTTGAGCATCGCTAAACCTGCTCTTCCGCTTGCGTCGAGGCGCTTCGGCATGTTGGTCCATCGTAATCGAGTAGAATTGACCTTGGCTGTATTTAGAGTAATTTCAACCAATGATGAGAAGGAGCTTTGTAGTGTAATATGATTGGTTATAATCTGATCAGCTTTGATTTAATGGAATAAATACATGAAATTTTGCAAGTCTATTTATAGTTATAGTTTTTTGGTGCTGTCTGATATCTTGTGATACAACCAGGTAGTCAAAAGAATATGGCTATGTATGTAATTTGATGTCGCTAAAAATAGACTAGGACAGTTTTGTCTGAGAGAAAAAAAGCCAGAGCGACGGAAACAGGTACGAATCGTGGGAAAGAAGAAAACATTCTTGTTTTTGTATCGGCAATTTCTTGATAGAGTAACTGGTATTCATACAAGTGAGGTATAGCATATTAATTGTATCTAAACCCTTTTCAAAACGATCCAGTAGCTTCTATCATTTCTTACAATTCATTATCTCTTCCAACTAAGCCTACAATTCCATCTCTTCTACTTCCTCACACAAACAAAAAGAAGACAAACTCCATACAAGTTTTAGTCTGACGAGTAGAAAGACGCAATTAATACTACCGAATCAAAGTGTACTCAAATGGCGTTCAAGACGTTAGAAAAGAAACCAAGTCTTGCGGAAGTACTGGACGAATTACAAAGTCGTTTCCTTGTGAAATCTTCCTGAGTCTGAACTGGTCTCTAATGAACGTCTTTTTTCCAGATTGAACAATGTTATTGGTTCTATGAAGATTTTTATGCGGATCAATATGCCCATTTACAACATGTCAAATTAAATGATTTTGCTCGTCAAATGTTTGCTCGTTGTCGTCTCTTACAACCACTTGCACATTGTTGTGATGACTTATTTCAAGATTTTAAAACCTATCAACGTCAAGTGCCAGTAGTCGGCTGTATCTTGTTGAATTCAAAACGTACAAAGCTTGTACTTGTACGTAATTGGAAAGGAACAAGCTGGACATTTCCAAGAGGAAAAGTAAATGAAGGAGAATCCGATTTGGATTGTGCACGACGAGAAGTTGCAGAAGAATGTGGATATGATGTGGGAAATCATCTTGAACCGAAACAACATTTGGAGTTTGTAGCGAATGATCAACGCATGCGGATGTATATTTGCCCTGATGTACCAGAAGATTATGCATTTGCACCGCAAGCACGTAAAGAAATTAGTACAATTCAATGGTTTACTTTTGATGGACTGCCGAAGAAAACATGGAGTGTCATGCCGTTTATGCCGAGACTAAAACGATGGGTCAAGGGACACAAAATAACCAAGAAGAAGGGATGTCGTGCTGGTATAAGCAGCACAGGACGTGCAGCTTCTGTACCACGCAACCGACCGCTCACGTCGAGCGTGAATGATGTGGTTCAGAAAAGTCGCGAGGACATTTTGAATAAGAAGAAGACGCATCGACAGGAGAGATCGATTTCAACTCCCACATAATATCAGACCAGCTGCTGGAAACATAAAGACGGCTAACCGTGGTCACTTTGGTACAGAATTTGACACAGCCACATTCTATGATGGCTTGAATGGCGAAACATTTGGCAACGCGAGAAGGGTTTTAGCGTGGACGATATGTTTAGTGTGAATGAGCGTTTGACGGGGCGGAAGTTTGAGTATGATGGCAATCCACATGATTTTGGTAAATCGACATTACATTCATCTGCAACACGAGCAGTAGCTCCAATATTTAATCCAAGGGCCCGAAGCCGGTCCAGATTCTTACGCGACGTTCGTCAGCGCCGTTGAAAGCGTGGAAGAGGAGAAATGTCCATCACCTGGTCCGTTGCGTCAATCTGCAGCTTCATCACCATTTGGGTATTTCCAGTTTGATGCCGTCGACATCATGGCTGTCGTGACATAATGTGAGCGTGGCGTTAGACACATAGGTTGAAGGAGTGAAACTGCTGTTGCAAAAAGACTGGAGTTTTAGGCATTGACCGCACGACAGCAAAATGTCGTTTCTCTTCGCTTCCGTTTGGCAGAAGCAAGAGTGTCCTGCATGAGGATTTTCGGTCCTTCGATCAATTGTGTCGTTTCATAATTTGCATTTTTGTTTTCTACTTTGTACAATAGTGAAGCTGCTGGTCGTTCCAAGATGTTCATGGACAAAAAATGGTAAGAGCACACGGGAGACCAGAAGCTTTGGTGTTTTTTAACACCACCCTTTGAGAAGAGATACACGTCGTAGCGGTGGTTGTTGTTGTTCCTTGCAGTCAAGAAGGCGTCCTGTTGTTATCCTATTATGTAGGGCAAAAGACGAGGAATGAAAAATGCACACCAAGTGCGGCAACGTGACGTCGTGAATCGTTTTCATCTGGTTAGTAGACTACTGTGCTGCTGATGCGCAGCACAGTAGACCTCTACGTCCTTATTGAGATGACTGCGAAATTGCAGCGTCTACCTTAGTGGCCGCAACTACTCGCCAGGTGCGGTGGTGTAAGAAATCCAGCACACTAGGACAAGCTGCAAACACGAAACACTAAAACAAACACAGTGGTCACATGTCAACAGACCGCTGTGAGCAATGAACATTATTGGGAGATAGAATTCCTTACCCAAAGAGCAGATAGTTTCGAAAAAGGCGGTTTTCAGGAGTTGGTTCAGCTACACTTCCTTTCATGCAGTTGAGCTGCGTCACGACATCACGAACATTTTTAGACGGAGAGCTACATTATTTGCAGTATCCATTCATGCGTTAAACAGCGACATACCGTAAAGTATGACACAGCAACACCAGTGTACAGAAGCGACACGTAATAGGCGATGGAGCCGAGTAGCTGAAAGACGACCGTATTAATTACTAACGGAATATACTTGTAGCCGGGAAAAGGATACCAAATCAAGGAACGAGATGGAGCTGTTTAGCACGTAAAGGCAGGCGGCCAGTACCCCGATTTCGATCAGCTGCATCACAAGACAGTAGCTTGCATCCTTGGAGATCACATCTGGGCTGAACCTGTTCAGTTTTGTAAAAAAAATGTATCAAGAAAACGAAGCATTGAGAAACGCCACACTTCGCAACGTACTGGTTTGAAGTGCCCTTGGAATAGCCTACAATCAGTATGTAGGTGAGAAAGCCCATCAACGGGATGTAGAGATCTGGTGCGTTGCTGTCACAAGTCGGAGGGGCGTACTGCATCTGATAATATTCACATACAGCATTACTGTGCTAGAGCCAAATGATATTGAACTGATCCAATCAACAGACATACCGGCTTTGATTCATCTTGCTCGCCGTTGCCTATACGGCGCCAGTTCTTGTGTCGAAATGGAAGCAGCAAGATCTAGCCATTCAAAACACTGAGTGTAAAATTTAATGGTAGCACAGCTTGCAGAATTGCAGAATCCACACCTTAAGACGACTCTTGACGTAAGAGTTGTTGACAGTAAAATAGTATTTGAGGCTGCCCCAAACGCCATAAGCTCCCGGAAGGGTACATCTCTGATTGCTTCTGGAGGAAATCCTGTGCACTGTTCATTGCCAGTCCTGCCATCGGGTTGCTTCACATAATATCAAGAAAAAGAGTCAACACATAAATCTTACTACCCTCACTATTTCATCATAGAAAAAGGTTTACCAACCTGGAAAACTGATTAATAAAATCAGCCTGTTGCACTTGCTGAGGATACTGCACATGCAGATGTGGATTGCTGCCACTCTGCAGCGTATGGTCCGGAGCATTTCCGCCGCCATATCCATCAAAGTTATTTCCATGCACCGTAAGACGGTGCTGGAAGCCTGTTGGCATTGATTGAAACTGCTGAGACGGAGCCATATTCGACACCGGAGGATGAGCCTTTATATCAAATACATTACACCACCCACAGACACGTCAGACAAACCCGGCAGTAGAAAGATGCAGGGGAGGGAATTGATCCTGTCACTGAAAAAAAAAACTCACGTCCTGAGGGAAGGCAGCAGCACCGGCCTGCTGATTAGAAGGTCCTACATTATGTAACAAAGGCTGTACTGGAGCTGCCGAAGCGGTAGGTTTCTGAAAGAATTGATGGGCGGGTCTGCGCTGTGGCATCCGCTGTTGCCCCATTGCAGGCTGCGACGAGAACTGTGGCATATTGCCAACACCTGACGTCGAATTGTATTGCATTGGTTGTTTACGAGTGTGGAGATTCGAGAATGAGTCTAGAGATGGATTCACAAATGTAGAGATAATGAATGTCAAGGGCGATAATTAGAACAAGAAGATAACACAAGAGTTAAGCATCGCCATGAGCTTTCTCTGTCTGTACCTGGTTGGGCCATAATGTAAATAACCGAGTCTATTATCGAATATATCGATAGAGATATATATGTGTATTGTACATACAATTCCGTGTCATTCTGACGATATATTTGCCAGCGTGACATTTGTGGCTGATAATGACAAATTCTTAGAAGCAGTGCTACAATTTATTAATGAGTTTTACGCTAATGATGACAAATTCTCAAAAATTACAGTAGCTTCTGATCGAATTGATGAAAATGTTGAACACTCATCACTGATTTCTAAAATACCGTTTCAACCTAATAATGTTAGTAACGTCAATGAACTCCATCCATGTTTACCTTGTTCAATACAACCAAGTAGTAATCATGATAACAATGTGACAGTGCACCATCACTCGAATCCACAACGTGAGCTTAAAATCGTCTACTTACACGAGAAAATAAAGCGTCTAGACAAAGTTACAGTAGATACAACAATATAGAAAGACTAGATTCTGTACAGTCAGGACACACGCTAGAAAGATGAAATCATTCTTCTTTTCAAACGAAGAGCATTATTTTTGGATAATGTAAATGTATGGAGAGACACTACTGCTCGTGAGAAAAACAAACGAAAAGTCGCAGCGTATGAAAACAGCTCGACTAAAAAGTAGGTTAGCAAAACAACAGGAAGTGGCCAAGAAATTGGAGAAGATTCTGCTCACACGGGCTCAGGAACAGGTTTGTTACACTTGCGGTACTTGTGATTTTGACGCTAAGAAATGAGCGTTTTGATACTCCATGATTCCCTTGTCATGCAGATCGCTGAATGCTCGACAACGCTACAGCGTCGGGTTGACGTGGGATAGCCTTATCCTTTAGGGCACAAATTGGACTTCCAAGCTAATGCTGTAGATTTTCAAGGACTACTGCAATATCTTGACGATGCTTACAGCCAAGTTCATGCAGTACTGGTTGCCAATGGTCTTGCTTGGAAGGAAATGACACAGCAGGACGTTCAAAATGCGGGAAGGTGTGGATGGAATGTATTATGAAGTGTTTTCAAATCAGGTTATGCCCTTGAACATCGTGCCACAGCGGAGGCTACATGGAACTATTTCAAGGAGCTTGAAGAAACACCGGGGAACACTGTATGCAAAAGAAACTTTAGGTACGTACGCGCTATCAAGAAAATCTACCTGCAATGTTGTAACGTTGCGGTGTAATGATTTGGTGTTATTTCCTTTGGACAGAATCTCGATACGCCGAATACAATCATCGAGTACTTCTCAGAGGAACTGGTCGCCGGTAATTCGAGCACTGACGTATGCATCAAGCAGGTTGTACGTCGATACGTGGAAGCTGAACGTGACATTGTCGTCTGGGTGGCATCAATTGTACCTCTTGATATCGCACAAGAACTCTTCGGCGGTTTCACTTCCCGTCACCGAAGCTACGCTATAATCAAGCGAGCCAAAGCTTCAACACCTCAATGCCAACTACCTTTGCTTCAGCTTATTTCACAGATCATGCTGGACACGCAGACAGGTATTGTTTCCGACCCCAAATACGTCCGAGCACTCACCGATTGTCTGCTGAATGATGCTGCACGAAACATAAAGGCCGACCAACAGCTAATTGAGAATGTTCTTATGGACCAAGTGCTACGGCCCTGATAAAGCGCCATGGATTTAGCCTTTGTCACGGCATTCTAATGTGGATGATGCGTGTATATTGAGAAAGTTTTGAGCTTGGTGAGAACGTTACGACGTCGAAGAAGCTTTGACAGATATTGCAACGAGTAACAATACATCAATTGGACTGCCTTTGGTCGAAAAACAGACGGAAACGTCTGTAAAGTGTTTGCTAGTGTTGTCATTTTGTAGTGTTCCTGGTAATGTAAATTATAGATCAGCACAAAGGTGCTTAACAAGGCAACGGACTGCTTGCTGCATGATATTAGTCTCGAACCAAGTAGTTGCCGCAGGTTTTAGGAACTACTGGAGTACGTCGATGAGGCATCTAATGACATACAGGTTATGGTTCTAAGAATATACATCATTGATTATACATTGAATCAACGAACCCTTTTATTCATAATGCTGTTTAATCTTCCATCATAAAGCTGATTTTGTATTCACTCATCAGATTCTTTGATATAACACCACCACATACCCAGTCAAGTTTTTCAGGCTTTCTCTTTCGCTTCGACACTTTACACCTACTGTGGCTTCCGGACCCAATCGATGTACCAACCCATAGTTTTGCACTTCGAGTAACTAGTAGGCGAACATCGGTGCAAACTACTCTTGAACCAATCACTCCAACCGGAGCGTCGTAATTTTGCTCTCCTCGCTTGCAGCCACAGAAAGCTTATTGTCAGGACAATTGTTCATGCGGGGCTCCAGTTACAAAGCATCTCGGGAGCAGACTTTCCGGTCGCACTTATACAATGTAAATGTATCTGGGACAACATCGGTGACTATCCCAATAAAATATCCACAAAACATTGTATCATGCCTGACCAAAGCACCTACCCAAACTTGTTGTAATCAGCAACAACGAGGTGCCTCGAGGCGATCCAGTACATCCTCAGCACGCAACTTTCGTCACCTACACGATTCATTGACCCTATCTTTTCACAGCCTCATCCTGTTTATTTTCATCCACCATACCTTTTTTTCCTGAGCTTCCCACTTCGATGTGCTTTTCCGCTCTTCCAATCGAAACTTCTCAACAAAAAAACTCGTATTCATATCACTACTATAAGTATTCGGTGCATTGAAAAACACTGGGATCCAATAGCAGCAGCTAATATACCATTAGGTGTGCTACAAACGCTTCAGGCCAATCTAGTGGCGTCATGGTGTCGTCTACTGCAGCCGCCGCTTAACAAAGCTCCCTCGAAACTTCGTACAGACAACTTCGTGAGCATTACTTTTACCCACTGTTTCGACCCACAGCAGTGCAACAGCATTTGAAAGAGCTCTGAAGCTTGTTGTACGTTGCATGGGGCAATAATTGCGTCGTTGAGGATGGAGACTCTTATGATAGAAACGTTTGTGATGATGATGTATTTCTAAAAAAAGTCGAATGAATTTGATTTCAAGGTTTATTGGGTAGTATTTATACAATAATTCATAATTGTAATAGAACAATTTCATATGAATACAATTCATGCACATTTTTTGGCTTATTAGTATTAGCACACAGATTTGTCGTGAATGCTAATAGTAAGTATAGTAAGTCCAAGCGACAAAAACTTATGGTGCGGCTTGTATAGAAAAAGCAGGTCAAGAAGGCAGCAATGGTGCAAGTACAAGCAACTCATGCCGGAGAATACAACGAATTCTGGCAACTGCATGACCTTAAATTTTGATCTTACATACTAAAATCTGTCTTCATCTGGAGAAGCTCACATGGTGGATGCATTTTTTCTTATGTTGTGCGTATCTCTTGAGCTAGCTTTTAGCACCAATATGGTTTGCATGCTTGCAGTGATGATAGGGCAGAGTATAATAGTTGTGTCTTTGAAAACTATTCTTGCATACAGAAGTGAAGCAGAAACCGTACAGAAAGCCGAAAGAAGCTGGCTGTAGGAGGTGAATCATCGAGTGAGAGGTGCTGGAATTTCTATTGGAGTGATAAAAATACGACACCTTTTTACATATGTGCACAATATGTGTATGACTGATGCAATTATGATGGTAACTTGTTTCGATTAGCGTCGGACGGGGTTAAGAAAGCTGATTGCTCTAAATCAAGAGAAAGCGTCATGCTTCATTTTCTTAACTGAGGCTTTGTTTACTAAAAGCTTCAACGTGACCGTGAGCTGGAAGATACTGTCAAAGACAAGAACTGCATATTGCTGAAGATACCTCTTGATGACTATACACGCTTATACATGGCAAACGATAAGGTTGTTGTTATTGACACTTAGGCTTCCAGTATCTAGCCTTAGCTTGCATTGCAGATACTGCCTTATTGCCGTTTCGATCTAAGCCGTTGTATGTCGTCCACGGAACCTTTTTTTCACGTGCCCAAAGATTGCGGCATGTTGAAGGGAACTTGTCCGTGCTCGAGAATAAACTCCTTAGCCTGCATCTTTATCATTTTTTGGATTTAGTTAGTTGGTCTTACGTCTCTTCTGCATCGCTTTTGATATGCGGCGGATACTCATGTCATTCTTCGATACCATCTTATACATAGCATCAATCGTCTTGCTGCCACGTATCTTCCTTAGTTTCGATAGAGCTGTTACTGGTGGGCTCGGTTTTAGTGCGACATTGTAAGCGTCCACATAACCCTCCCAGCTCTTCATAGGAACGCCCAGAACAAATTGACCTGCGCCCTTGTCAAGGCCAAAAAGTGGATAAACTGTGGAGAATATTCTTTACAATCCATACCTGATATAGCTCCGCGAGCACTCGATGTCTGACGGTATTTTCTTGTGGCTGCCGGACCGACCCAAAAGCACCATATCGACTAGTTTTTTATCGTCGTACGGAAAAAGCTTGAGAAATGGTATCTGCAAATTGGTGTTGCGATCGAAAAAGTTATTCATCTTCTTAATTGCATCAAGTAGTCCACCCGTATGGAAAAAGAATAATCTTGTATATCAAGGCCAAGCTTGGTAAAGACGTCGTCAGGAGGTGTTGCCGTACGTAGCCATTCTCTATGTCTTCAGGTAGTTTTTGATCGGTCGTCCACTTTTGACTTATCATTTCGAAGTGCTTTGCCAGATCTTCGTCATTGTAGAAATTATTAGTTGTGTCCAAGACCGTGAATTGCTTGTCAGGGGTACATCTTGTTGTAGTGGGTCATGTAGACGACCCAATTGAGCAAATTTGAGTTCTTTGTAAGCTGCAACATACTGTAATTGTGAATCAATTTTTTCATTCTATAAAATGGATGGTGAATGTTTCATTAACCAAGACTTTACGCCTCCGGCGACTGCCTTGGTTTCTGCGATTTCTGCAGTTTTTGCAATTTCTTTGAGTTCTGAAGCATTACCACGACGGAGATTCTTCGCAGCAGTAATGAACATTTGCACCTCTTCAAAGTTGTTTAGTTAGTAACAAGAAACTGAGAGAGAGAAGTTTCGCTCTTATGGAACGTTTCCCAAGTCTTGAGCTCAGTCCACTTCTTCAAATCAGGTTCCTTAATAAACCTTTGTCTTAATGCAATATGTTCCAGCTTCATGAAATTCTCGTCTAGAGGAATATCGTCCGGGATGGATTCGAGTCCATGGGTCACACGTACCGCATTGGCCGCCTGGAGCTCAGCTTCAGTCTGAGAGCTCATGCCAACCGGGCTGCGATCGATTTGAGCGCAGTAGCCACAACCCCCTCTCATCTTCGCCGTCGTTAGCGTGCTTGAATCCCTTTAACCGCCTCTGGCGGACGCTTCTATCGGCCAGCTGGGGGCAAGCCAGTCGACCTGACGACGTCCGATGGGGTGGCACGAGAACTAGTACCCGATAGGCAGATAAGCAAGAGACCCAAACATAATGGCAAGCTGAAGGCGCATGATTTTGCTTGGACTACTGTAGTGGTAGAAGGCAAATGCGAATATGGCAACAGCATCAAGCTGATGGCATATCTCCAACCGCTGGGTATTATGATACGGTACATTATCGTACGTCTGCACAAGCTTTAAATAGTATGTTTAGGGACGAGATTAGGAA